TGTGGTGGTGTTGTATATAAATGAGAGCACATAGGACAGTTGAAACCAAACTGGTTTGGTTTCAAGTTTGAAAGGAGAAAATGTTTATGATGAATAACAATAGAATAAGAAGTACTTGAACTACCACAATAAAAACATAATTGTGGTAACAAATTTGCAAAATAAAGCAAAGATTGAATTTATTTCCCCCAAAATAGCTCAGGTTGGTTACAACTAATATTCTTTTGCAATGGATGGGGTTTGCACAAAGCAATCCATTTAAATGTAGTTGTACTCACGTTACTGAATTGGTCCCAGTGGTTTTGCCCTTTGCCCTAAAGCAGTTGGAATGCCAGTCTAGCCTTGGAAAGGATTCTCTGACCCTCTTTCACCAGAAATAACAGTCTAAAATGATGAGGACTGGAGCAGTTGAACAATGAGTGAGGGTTCCTGTAGAGAAGGCAACAGTTGAGAAAGCAAGCCAGGCACTAATGAAATCCACCCAAACATCCCTCAGTAATGGAGCGAACTGTTTGAGAAATGCCTGCACAGCTGACAACACACTCAACTCTGTTACTTGCAACAGATACTCCTTATACTGTGTGGTAAAAATCTTGTGTATCTATGATTTTAGGATATCTGCAAGCCTATTTAATGCTCTTGTGTAAGCTAAAATTTAACCCTGTGAGAGTTTAGGAATCTTCAAATGTAAAGGCCAACACATAACGTCTGCAGCACAAAAGTAGCAAAGACTTTTTGCTAGATGATACAACTGTTCTTCAGTAAACTGTTGAACTATCATACCCACTTGACAAAAAGTCTTGCCACCCAGCTTTTGACCATACTATTGTGTATTACTCCCAAGCCAAAAGTCTGGGGTATCTGGTACTGTAACTAGGAACATTCAGATGATTCTAAACCTAGCTTTATATCACTCCAAAGAAGAGAAGAACACCTTCAAACACTGTCTGGCTTTCGCTATGTGGAAGTCCTACGCTGGATGTACCTTGAGAAGTGCAGCTTCATCCTCTACCCAAGATAAAATAAATTGGATCCAGGAGGGTAGGCTAGAGGTATACATCTCCAACTGCTTGAAGAGATAATGATGTTATCCTTGTGATTCCTGTGATTGCTTGTGAAGGGTATTGAGTGGTTTGTTTTACTCTTGTCTTTTAGAGAGTGGTTGCTCAGTGGTGGATTGAGTTCATCTCCAGCATCTCCCCACTCCAATTTTATATCAAGACCATTTGCAAAGAACCTGCTGTGTTAGCTACAAGGCTCTGGCTTGGGGAACAATCGAGGGACTGGCTCTGAAGTGTTTCATTTCACTCTACATTACTCTTTATGTTTTTTGTAACACCTTGACTCATTTTTTTAATTCAAATTTAGGATGGAAATGGTTAGATGTACTGTGTAAGTACGTTGACTGCCCTCTTAAAATATGTATGTTTTCATGTATTAGTATATTCAGCATATTAATCCTTGCAAAGGGAGGGTTAAGGTTCCATCTCAAGGCTATAGGTGGCTCTTCATTCTTTTTATGTATGGTACTGTATACACCTCTGTACCCACAGTCCTCTTTAATAGAAATTTTCTTCTTTATTTTGTCAGTGATAAACACTTTTTACTCTACTGCAAAATATTGTGACAATAAGATTATTTAAAATAAAGTAAACCATTGTCTTACATGGTACTGTATCTCTAGTGTAAAGGTGTTTTCATCATTGATGATGTTTTTAGTTCAATAAACAGTAATTGGAATCATGCATTTATTGAGAATACCACATGCCTAAGGTTCAAAAATACTAGCTTATATTCAAGATTATAGATTTACTGTATGTATGGAACATTAAAAGTATCCTGTTACCATTTATCGTGTTGAAAATAGTAATTTTTTTCTGAATGCATGTTAGTGTTTTGAGATAATTACCTTAGTGTCTAACCTTTTTTGCTATAAGTGTATACCATGTATGTATATCTTGTTTCATTTATAAATAGTACCTACCTATAATTTAATACAGCATCTGTTATTATTACAAACTTAACTATTTACCTTTAAATTTAATTTATGCTCTTGATAAACTCAAAGCTAAGTATTGAAGGTAGAAACTTTCAAAGCTTTGCAGTCAACCACATTTATGATTTCTTGTAAGATGACCGAGGCTGATGAAGAGTTAGGTCAAGCACAGCACATCCTGGTTATAGGGTTTTGGACTCAGTACACTCGTGTATATTTCCAGTTTTGCCCCCTCCCCCCCCCAAAAAAAAAATACTTGCCTGAATAATATACTGTCAAGGGTATGTTCCATTAGACTCTCCCTGGAATTATTATTAGATTAGAGGAGAATAAAATATTTTCTAATCCCCAACATTTCATAGATGGATTAGCGGAGATTCTTTAAATCACTTTGCATGTTCAGGCAGGCATGTGTAGTTTAGAAATTGATCCTTGGAGGTACAAGTTCTTCATCAGTCGCCCATATTTTAGGTTTGGAGTTAGGGACTGTTGTATTTAAAATTACCTGGTTCTATTTTGCATGCACAGTGTAATAATATTATACTTTATTGCAGTGCTGTACTTTATCATACAGTTCTTTTATACAGTATATATATTTTATATTTATAAGTTTTACATTTTCTTAAGTTTGTCTTAAAATTTGCTTAGTTTTTGGCTTGTTTTGACCATGTATATTGTATGTATGGACATCATCAATTGCCAGAGTATTGATTTACCTGCTTACCTGCTTGATGGGGTTCTCGAAGTTGTTGTTCTCCCCAAGCCCGGCCCGAGGCCAGGCTTGACTATTGAGAGCTAGATCCAACAGGCTGTTGCTTGGAGTGGCCCTCAGGCCCACATATCCACCACAACCCAGTTGGTCTAGCACTTCTTGAAGAAAATGATTTAGTTTTCTCTTGAAGTTGTCCACGGTTGTTCCGGCAATATTTCTTAGAATCGTTGGGAGGATGTTGAACAACCGTGGACCTCTGATGTTTATACAGTGTTCTCTGATTGTGCCTATGGCACCCATGCTCTTCACTGGTTCTATTCTGCATTTTCTTCCATATCGTTCACTCCAGTATGTTGTTATTTTACTGTGTAGATTTGGGACCTGGGGCCTCCAGTATTTTCCATGTGTAGGGTATTTGATATCTCTCTCGTCTCCTTTCTAGTGAGTACATTTGGTGAGCTTTGAGTAGATCCCAATAATTTAGGTGCTTTATCGTGTCTGTGTATGCCGTATATGTTCTCTGAAGGGAGAAGTGAGTACTGTGCAGTACTCAAGACGGGACAGCACAAGTGATTTGAATAGTACAACCATTGTGATGGGATCCCCTGAATTTGAAAGTTCTCGTAATCCATCCTATCATTTTCCTGGCTGACGCAATATTTGCTTGGTAATGCTCTCTAAACGTTAGGTCTTCAGACATCATTATTCCCAAATCCTTTATATGCTACTTTCCTTCCATGGGCCAATTTGATTGTTTTGTACCCTGTACTGTATTATGTTTAATGTCCTCATTTTTAACGTACCTGAGTACATACCTGGAATTTATCACTGTTAAACATCATGTTATTTTCTGCTGCTCAGTCGAAAACTATTAATATCTGCTTGTAGTTTTTCAATGTCTTCAGAAGAGGTAATTTTCATGCAAATTTTTGTGTCATCTGCAAATGATGATTTGAAGCTGTGACTTCTATTTTTGTCTATACTGTATCTGATATGAGAATAAGGAAAAACAGTGGCGCAGCTCTGAGGCACAGAGCTTTTAACTCTGCTTGGGCTCGATTTTATATGGTTGACTGTTACTCTTTGTGTTCTGTTTGACAGAAAACTGAGTATCCACCGTCCTAGTTTACCAGTTATTCCCATTGACCTCATTTTGTATGCTATCACTCTATGGTCACATTTATTGAATGCCTTTGCAAAGTCCGTGTATACCACATCTGCATTCTGTTTTTCTTCTAATGCCTCAGTGATTTTGTTGTAGTGAGTTTGTGAGAGGCATGATCTTCTTGCTCTAAATTCGTGTTGGCCTGGGTTGTAGAGGTCATTTGTTTCCATGAAACTGGTAACCTGACTCCTGATCACTCTCACAAATAATTTTATTATGTGGGACATAAGTGCAACTGGTCTATCAATTCTTTGCCAATGCTTTGCCCCCTCCCTTGTGTAGAGGAGCTATGTCTGCTGATTTAAGCACATCTGGTAACTACCCCGTGTCCAAGCTCTTCCTCCACACTATACTGAGTGCTTGTGCTACTGGCACTTTGCATTTCTTTATAAATATTGAATTCCATAAGTTGATGTATACAACAAGATTGTATACATCAACACAACACAAGATTGTATGTGATGAGTCTTACTGTTTTTTTGGGTATCATGTTTATTTGTACCAAAAAGGAAAATCTTTGCAGAAAAAAAAAAGTTTGATTAAATTTGGAACAGTGGTATGTTTATATTTTTAAAATTAGTTCAGTGACACATGTTTTGTAGATCATTTTGCTTAGCTGAGACTGTTCTTTTGGCCAATACCAGCAAATACTGTACAGTATAGTACTTCCAAAGAATCTTAACTATAACTTCTCTCTCAAGTTCTATTGACCATCTTCATTGCCCACTTTGTACTTCAGTATTATAGCTGCCTAAACTTTTCTATGTAGAATTGCATTGGTATTGTATTCCTATTTTCTCACTGATATTGCATGGACTCCTACGAATCACTGCACCCCTTCAACTTCATATTCAGCATAAATATATTTGGTTTAATTTAATACTGACAGAGCACTCTTTTTGTACCTGCACTGAAAATTTGTTAACAATGACTTTTATAGGAAGTTTAATGTATTATTATAGTCAGATAGGGACATTTAGTCTTGTGTTGCACGTGTTTGTTCCTAGTGATATCAATGTCAGCCACAGAGTCCTGGCTCTTTATCTCCAAGATACTGCCATAACTCCTGTCCCTCCCACCCTGGCACCCCAAACCCACTGACACCTACCCTATGGCCGCTCACCCAGCACTCAGGCGGGAGGCGCATTTTTTCGCAGAGGTGCGAACTGTGCCCGAGTAAAGATGGCGCCCTCAAGCGTACTGACTCGGGTGGTTGGGCACATGTGGTGTGTGCATTGTACATCCCTGAGGTGCGCTTTGGAAACGTCACCACCATGGAGCCCATCATGCTCCAACTCATTCCACAAGAGAGGTTCAATAAGGTAGGAAGAAGTCACATAAATGTGGAAATATTTTGTTTATGCATTAGTAAAATGTGTATTTATTTGTATTCTCAGTTTTGGTAGCCATCTGTGTTAGTCATGAATAGTAAATGGTTGCATAATTACCTGTTTTACAAGTACAATACAGTAATACTGTAATGGGTAAAGCATGCACTTTAATCCTGTGGCTGCAAGATAATGTTCCACAGGCAAATTTAACTAAATTAGAATAATATTTTAAAGAATTACAGAACTTTAAATTAATTTTATTTAAAAAATGTCAACAAATTGTTTGAATTTATCATGATAATCCACCCCAAAAATTTTGCTGAAGAGGGATACTTGGAACATTTCTAACAGTTTACCTGAATGCGAAGTACCATTCATTACTTATGCAGAGTAACTGAAGAATAAAGTACAGTAATATCAATGAAGAAAGTAAACACTAAGCTCGTACGTTAGGAATGGAAAAAATGTTTTGGTCTAGTCCAATTTAGGACACATTGAAGTACTGTACTGTATCACTTTTTCATCCATTTCAATACAGTACACTGTATTTTAATTTGGTGTTTGTATATACTATACCGTACATGCACCGTGGATTACTGTTCAGATGGAACAGTTGATTTTGAACCCATGAGGTTTATCCATCTTTTTTTTGGGGGGGGGGCACAAATAATGTGCAGTATTTTGAGAAAATAATTTGTTGAGATTTATTATTGTCAGAAATTACACTATTATCCGAATGCTTCAAGCATGTATTTCCAAAACTGACCGGATTAGATTCCTCCCATTGCACTCGGACTAAAAAAATCCTCTGTATAGTTTAATATCTTGTGTTGTAAAGCACTCTACTATATTCAGTCTGTCGTCACATGTAATAACAACACAGATTGGACACTATTGAGTGGCAGCATTCAGACTGGAGTGCCTTAGTGGAATTTAAGTGACTCAATTTGTATGCATTCTTGGACTAATGAACATCGACTTCAATAGGTTAGGTGGGTTGGTCTAGATTGATATACATGTGGTTGGCATACCATTTTCAAATTAGAGGTTTGTCAAGTTATGAGTGGTTATATTAGCACTTAAAAAAGTGTACAAATATAATGTAGCAAAATGGTATAAAAATTTTGTTTACTTTCCCTCATAACTATAAATACAATGATGTCTTTGTTTGAATGAAGGAGTCATTATGAACCCCCTCTTCTGTAAAAGAACTTCCTTTACATTTTATCTGCTGATTTATTCCCAAAATTGATGTTTTAATTGATGTTGGGCAAATGACAGAACACACTTTTGTACATTGAAGAAACAATATTTCCGAGCTACATGTCACATTTAGTTGCCCAGGTACTCCAACTATCACCAGGTAGCAAGACCTTGCCCACCTCTGGGTGCCCTGACTGTTGTCTCATTCTTAATTAGGTTCTGGTACACAGTGGGCTGTGTGCATACAATATCAGCAGCATTGAACACTCCGTGTAATATCCAGGAAAAGCTTACTGTAAAGATTCCAGATGCACTTAAGGGGGCGTCTGGTTGGCATCTGGGTCCAAAAATGCAAAAATGAAAACTCATTCGATTTCAATCAAACTTTTTTGACAAGTTCTATATGAAAAGTGTTTCATCTGGTCCAAGTTTCAGCATTGTAGCATAAATAGGAAGGGAGAAAAAAAATATTGAAGTAGTGTTGAAAATTATGCAAAAATGGTCAAAATCGATTATCAATCAAAAGTGTCAACTGAAATCATAACTACGACTCTTTGCTATCACAATAGCATATATTAAACAAATATTATAATTAGTTTAATTGGAAAAAAATTTTAAGGAAAAAAAAAGGATTTTTTTTTTTTTTTTTTAATTTTTTTTTTTTTTTTTTTTAATTTTTTTTGGGCGATTTGCATCAAACGTACACACCTGACTGTACGTAAGCCTATCTGTAAGGATGCCAATTTTGGAGAAAATTGGTTGATGTCAATCCCAGCCACAGATTTTAGAACCTTAGACTTTATTCATTTCTGTTTTTTTTCAATTGACACAAACGTTTACAAAACTGATTCCTTTTTTATTCAATTTACATGAAACTTACACAGTATATGTGGAGGGCATGTCTCTACATTGGGGGGCTTTCATTTTTCTCTAAGTTCATTTATTGATTTTATAATAGCAATAAACATGCCATATTTGCAAAAAAAAATTTGGGGAACTTTGAACATTTGTATTAGGAAAACTAAAGATGTTTTGGAAATTCTAAATCCCCAAATCCTTTATTATATGCTAATGTGTCAGAAAAGTGTCACAGAATAATTATATCTGAAACGTGTGTTCTGAAGTGTGGACTTGAAAATGTGTAAAAAAACGTTAAAAAAAAAAAAAAAAAAACTCCCTTTCTATTTACGCTGCAGTACTGAAACTTGGGACAATTTAAGCACTTTTCATATACAACTAGAAAATTAATATTGGTTGACATTGAACAACTTTCATTATAATAACCAGACGGCCCCTTAAATATGCACCATTTCATGAGGGAGAAAATAACAGGTCAATGGCAAAAGCTAATGACCTGTTGCATTAATACTACACATTATAAATGCCTTGGGAGAGGATAATTAGGAGTCAAATCTCTAATTCTATGAGAGAAAAAAGGAACTAGAAAATTGAGAAAATCATAGCATTTTCTCATTGATGTATATTACATTAGTGTGATTTTCTGTGTACAGTATTTGAAGTTGGGGCGTACGGTGTTAAACTACTTTACCTCTCACCCGAGTTCTTGGGGGTCACAAGGTCATGTGTAAAACTTGGACTGGCTTCAGGAAGGGCTTCCAGACTTCCTGTGATTTCAGTAGAAATCCGGTTGAAAGACTTTTAACAAGTCAGTAGTGGTACAGTGGTTGAGCATGTGGTTGGCAGTGCCTTGGTTGTGGTTTCATGTCGCCTTGCAGCCCCGGTAGATTTTCTCATAGAAAATTGAGGTCAGCAGGAATCCTGCTTTTTGCAATTACTCAACCACTTTGACAAAATCATTAAAGCACTGAAAAAAATGCAAATTTTTTATATGCATTTTGTAAAGGTATATGATAATTGTGACTATAGTGAGAGCATACAAAATGTTGGTGGAAGAAACATCTTGCTAAGTGCAGCACTTTCCTAACAAACAGGTCACAAAGATTAGCAGTAAACCAAACAAAATGAAGCGTGAGCACAGTGAAAAGCTCTATCTCAAAGTTCTGTCCTTGCACCACTACTTTCTTACTCTCATTTCACACATAGACAAAAATACCTATCATAGCTTCATGCCTATCACAGTTAGCATGAATATTGCCTCAGCAGAAGATACTGAAAGCCTGCAAACATATATCAGTAATATCTTCTAGTGGGCAACAGAAAAAAGCATGACATTTAACAGTGATAAATTCCAGCTACTTTGATGAGGAAAGAATGAAAAGTTTAAACTTGATACAGGGTATATGAGGTATGATGCAAACAGATCTTCTCATTGAATGAAAATGACATGTAAATGATCTAGGAATGATGATATCAGACGACCTAATGTTTAAAGAGCATGACAACAAATGTAGCATCACCCAAGAAAATGTTTAGGTGGTTTACGAGAACTTTTAAATTTAGGGATGCCACCACATTGCAACTCTTTTTCAAATCGCTTTTACTTTCCCTGCCTTGAGTACTGCTTGATACTCTTCTCCCTTTCTGGGCAGGAGAGCTTTTTTAAATAGAATGTGCTTTACGTGTTGAAATTATGGGGGGTATGATGATAAAACTTGTAACAAAGATGACGATAGTACTGTATTGATAAAGACAATGCAAATTATTATACACAAAGAAATCATACTAATGTGATATATATCAACGAGAAAATCAAGTGGAGCACCGAGGTGACTTGAATTAGTGATCAGGGTACTCCCAGCCGTGCACCGTACCCCTGTACCACAACATGATATAAGTTATATAACCTGGGGATTCCACTGAATCCACAGGAAGTCAGTACAAGCTTCCAGAGTTCAAGTCACCTCAGTGCTCCAATTGATTTTCCTGCAAATTATTAATGTTGTGGATTGGTTACAGGAAGATTTAAACAATATTAGGTATGATCTTACAGAAGATGAAATTACTGCTCTTGTTAGTGTTGTTCAAGTGGAGGATGAGAATGAAATACTCGTAAAGCCAGACTATAATTATCATTTTTTATTAGATTGACTCCTAGAAATATTTATTGGAATATTGAAATAAAGACATTTAAGGATTCTATTCCTGTCTGAGGCAATTAAAATCATAAATGTCCAATAACATACAACAACAAAAATGGAAAAATATGAGACAGACATTCTGATATACTAAAGAAACTTCACGACATTCATTAGATCAAAATTAGAATATACAACTGTTATGTGATGTCTATATCTCAAGAAGTGTATCAACAAACTAAAAAAAAAAAAAAAAGGCAAAGGCATGTTACTAAATAGCTTCAGGAGCTTTAAAACAAAAGCTATGAGGAGATCAGACCAGCAGCCAAGAGGCATGGTCAGAGACTGGGCTGCAGGGATGTTGATCCTCCGAATCATCAACATGTAGTCAATAGGCAGAGTGAAATCGTTAAATATACCTCAGTTGAGAAAATAGCAGGGAAAGAGGTGATATGATCATCATTTACAAAATACAGTAGTGACATTGACACAGTTTATAGGGAGGAAATTTTTAAACCGGTAAATACAAGAACAAGAGGCCATAGATTCAGGCAAAGGAAACAAGGGTGCCAAAAAAATATATGAAAGTTTCCTTATGTGAACAAAGTTGTAGACATGGAAAAATTTAAGTGTGAAGGTTGTGGATGCCAAAGCCATCAGCAGAGTTCAAGCATTATATGACAAAGATTATAAGGAAGATGGGATACCACGAGTACAGCTCTTACCCTGTAACTGCACTTGGGTAATAGTAGTACAATGGGGGCCTTGATTTATGATGGTAATCCGTTCCCAGAGACGTATCGTAAGTCGAAATATCGAAAGTCGAAACGATTGTTCCCATAAGAAATAAAGGGAATTGAATTAATCCGTTCCACGCCCTCAAAAATATTAACTTAAAAATACATTTTATACTGAATACAATTTTTTCTCTAACTACAATACAGCACATATGTTTGTCTTACTTTTATGGAGGACTCTTGATGGCGCATGGAAGATAGTGAGGAGGGGGGAGGAGAGGTGTTACTGTTTGGAAGGGGAGTCCCCTTCCATTATAACATCAGGCAATGAGGACTTCTCTGGGGTACACACACTGGCACATTTTGCCTGCATACCACTAGGACCTGTTTCTGGCTCACTGCTTGATTTTCTTACTAGAAATCGTTCCATTGAAGATTGTTTTTCCCTTCTTTCCAACACTTGTCTGTAGTGAGGCATCACATTGTTATTAAAAAGATCAGTGCAACGACCTGTTACAGCTTTATCTGGATGATTCTTTTCAGCAAAACTTTTACAGTTCTTCCCACACTGTACACATTTTCTTAAATAATGAGGAAGGGACATCCTCTAATGCCGCCGCCTCCTCCTTTGAAGATTTGTTGTACTGCCTAGCTAGTTCAACACGAGTACCATTTTCCTGTTCACGTATGATATCTTACTTTTCCTCTATGGTCATTCTTACATGTGTTTTCATATATTGAACCTTATCACTGACTTTCTTGGAACCCATGGCATGATATATAATAATGTTTTATGTTCAAAAAGTAAAAAAATCACCACAAAAATGGAATTTCTTATAAGTGTGATTGTCACTAAGCTGGCAGCTCTAGTAAACTGAGGCAGGTCGGCCCGCGTGACCGGGAACCATGCGCTCAATCGACCCGAACGTGTATCAACGCATATCGTTAGTCGGCGACAATATTGTAAGTCGCGTCGCATTTTTCTATCAAATTTATATTGTAACTCGAAATTATCGTAAGTCGGGGCAATCGTAAGTTGAGGTGCCACTGTAGTAGGCGTCCTGCAGTCTTGGGAGACGGGAGTTGCGCTCGGGTTGTCGAGGCTGAAGTGTCCTTTCCAGGGTGCAAAGCCAGGGTAGGTTGATATGGAGGAGAAGCTGTTACCCATGCAGTGGTTCCCCCTTTCCACAATACTGAAATTGTCCAATGGAAAGGCAAAGGCTTAGGTACTACACATTCATATATACATATATAGTCTAAGCTCACAAATTTGGATGACCCCAATCTGAATCATACATAGATCTGAATTATCCAAATTCCTTAAGATGCCTGATAAAAATATAAACAAAATAACTTTTTTGTTGTACCAGAACCAACTTTATTCACATTTCCACCTATAATAAACATAGATTTACCTTGTTATGGCAGCATCTTCATAGAAATAAATCAAATAGTTTGACATTAACAGAAATTTCAACTTGGGGGTGTTAACAGCTCTCTTGATCGCCGGAGGATTTAAATTCTGTACATTCACCTAACTCCAAAATAACTGTTTAAAGGCTTATATTGCATGTATTTATCTCTTCTTTACCCAATTTCAAACACTTGTGCTTTCTGCAAATTCTCACGCAACACTCACATCGGCACGGCCATGTTTAGAAAGTTCAATGACTCCAAGCTTATCCTTAATTGATTTGAGTGAGTGAGTGACTTAATTGAGTGACTTGCTTCCTTTTAACTCCTTCACATTCATACACAGTGTGTGTGTGTATATACCTTGTAGTTACTTTGTGGTGGTTCCAAGGATTAACACCATTGTGGCCTGGTCTCTAACCAGGCCTTCTAATTGGTCATCAGGCCAACCAGGGTGTTGGAAATGGCAGCTCACAGCCTGGTTCATCAGGTATCCTATGGAGGTGTTTATCGAGTTTTCTCTTGAACACTGTGAAAGGCCGGCCAGTTATGCCACTTATGTATGTAACAAGAGAGTGCTGCAAAGCCTTGGGTCTTTGATGTTGATAGAGTTCTCTCTTAGCATACTGTATTTCTATATCTATATATATATGTAGATACATGAATTATTTGGAAAATCCACACATTGAAGTATTGTTGTACTGGAAGAACTTAGTACCTTTTGGGAATGGGGATTAGTGTGGTGTTTTTCCAACATGTCTTTATTTTTGTAGATTAGATTGTACTACAAGAAATAGGTTCACAGTGACTGAATAGTTAATATATCTGCATAGTCTATCAATCTAAAATATAAACAATTCGATTCAATTTTTAGAACTCAATGTACTTATTCAGTTGTAAATTTATATATATATATATATATTTTTTTGAGATATATACTAGAGTTGTTACATTCTTGTACAGCCACTAGTACGCGTTAGCGTTTCGGGCAGGTCCCTGGAATACGATCCCCTGCCGTGAAGAATCGTTTTTTCATCCAAGTACACATTTTACTGTTGCGTTAAACAGAGGCTACAGTTAAGGAATTGCGCCCAGTAAATCCGCCCCGGCCAGGATACGAACCCATGACATAGCGCTCGCGGAACGCCAGGCGAGTGTCTTACCACTACACCACGGAGACTGGTAAATCTAGGATATCTAGGGAAGGGGGCAGAGTACCCAAGCACATTGATCTGGACGTGTGGCAGCCAAAGGATTAAAGCTTCGCATGTTAAAATACAGTGTATTAATGTAAAAAAATATTTAACTAGTTTAACTTTAGATATAGTTAAATTCTAAAGATGTGTTTGTAGTTTTTAATCTCTTTTTTTTTCAAATTGTTTCATACTTTATAAGTTATTTAATTCATTCATTGCTTATGATCCAATATTGTGTATTTGTGTTGGTTTGTTTTGTATATTTTTACCGTGCTAAGTGATTGTGCATTAACCGTAGTGTACATAATTTATGATTTACATTAATTACTAATAATAAAAATTTTGTTGTAGTTATGGAGGAAAACTTCTTTATAACTGATTATTTGCTTCCTTCAGTCGTGCTACATCTGTGAAGAGGGTGGTAAAGAAAGCAGAGCCATCATCGGTGCATGTATGCAGTGTAATAAGTCAGGCTGTAAGCAGCACTTTCATGTAACGTGTGCACAGTCTATGGGCTTGCTTTGTGAGGAGGCAGGAAACTACTTGGATAATGTTAAATACTGTGGCTATTGCCAGTACCATTTCTCAAAGCTGGTAAGTGGAAATTCTCTCCTATTAATGTTGTCTGAAAAATAATTTGTCAGATACCACATATTGTATTCTATCTTAAATTGTTGACACAATGTTTTGTTTTTTTGTTCTGAGGGGTATCCACATGTAGAATCTGTCAAGTTCTTTATTTATGAAAATTTTAACACGTTAAACTCTGTAGAAGTGATCGAAGCCTTTGTGTAATGTAGATGTTGTGTTGTCTATTGGCTAGCATATAAATTAAAATATAGCCATTGCTTTGGATGTAAAAAATGCAAGTAATGAGGTATTTATCTGTAAATTTATTTAAATAGAAAGAAAAGAGGAATTTATAAATTAGTTGTGTGGACAGATAAATCCTCAAATAGATAAATCCATAAATAATATGGACATTATTTGACAGTTATTAGAATGCCCCCATTTTTTTTTATTTTTCAAATTTGCAAGTATTTACCCCTGGAACTTCTAAGGTGTATTAAATAAAAAAATTTGTGTAAAATTTCAGGCACCTTTATAGATATTTAGTGGTAGTGGGAAACAAGTGAATATTTAACAGTGCTACCGTGTAAGTGTTTAGTACTGGCTCACACACTGAGGTGAGCCACTGCCTGGATACTTGTGTTACGGTATCACCCCTTTTGGGCAAACCATTAAAAAAAAAAACCAAGCCTCTAGTAGTTACGTCATGGGTGGCTTGGAATTACTACTTGATCACATATTTATGTAGCCTATGGACATCAGTAAATGTCTGAAATGAGCTGAAAATTTACATGAATTGTTTTTATGGCTAAGCTTATAATTGCCAGGGATGAGACTTCAGTTTTTCTTTATTTGAGCCAATCTACAGTACACACACATGCAAACATTAGTTTAAGGTAAATATATAATCCAATATTTTATACTAGAATTCTTTTGAAATAATTTTCTGGGGACAGCCCCTTCGGCTTCCCAGAGCTATCCAGGCTGATATGTATATCATTAGACTTTGGCATCAGTCAGTGTGAATGAAGTTCTAGACCTACCGGGAACCATGAGCCAGAATCTGGCCCCCTCAGAGAGGCACGAGGAGTAATGGCCTATAGAAATGCACATGGGATTTGGAACATTCTGTATTTGCCATCAACCGGGCCAGGCATCCAGAAAGGTAAGCACCTCAAAACAAACACCTATTCTGGTTAAAATGATGAAAATAAACTAACGAGTGGACAGAATTCTCCAAATGAAAACGAGCAAACGAGCATGACGTCACAAGCCACGCTGCATGTCTGTGCAGCTCCCTCCTCCCCGGGAGGGAAAAGGGGGCGCCCCAGATCCACCGTGCCGGTGATCCACCCTTCAGTTCTTGACTGATGTGATTGTGACTCGAGTCCATCACCATCTGTATGGTGATCAGGTGGCTTCTATGATGGTGTCCCACCTGCGGGCTTCGTCTTGGCGGCAGTATGAAGATTCCTGGCAGTCCTTCCGTTTTTTTTGTCTATCACTGTACTTCGCTTTCGGTTAAGGTGATTTTGTCTTTTCTTTTGTGGCTGTTTCAGGACCGTCATCTTATGTTGAATACTGTCGCCTCGTATCGTGCGGCATTGGTGGAGCCGCTGCAGCTTGCTTTCGGTATTGATGTTACTTCTGCACCGTTTCGCAAGTTGTCTCGGGCGTTGTTTCACCTCCAGCCTGCTCAGGCGCCGCCTGAGCCATCCTGATCTTTGGACAGAGTGCTCTCTTACCTGTCTTCTCCTCAGTTTGTTGTGGCCCCTTTGGTTCCGGATTGTTTTCTAAGGCTCTTTTCTTGTTGGTATTGGCCTCTGGGGGTCAGGTTGGGGAGCTTCATGCTCTCCTCCGGCACAAGGGTTTCTGCTCTTTTGGTTGAGGTGATGAGTTTATTCGTTTGCTGCTGTCTCCTTTTTTTTTCTGGCAAATAATGAAACTGCTGCTTTCTGGAGGGGTCCTTGGGTTTTTGATGCTTAGTTGGTCAGGCGGGGGGGTGCATCATGTGTTGGATCTGGTTGCGGCTCTTCATCGTTATTTGCGTGCCACGGCCTCTGTGACCTGGGAAGTGCTTTGGGTTGATGAAGTTTCCCTTCATCCCTGTTCTCAGGTTCGGGTCTCAGGTCATCAGGAGGGTTATTCGGTCTAGCCAGCCTGTGGTCTATCCCCGTGCCCATGACATTCGTAAGTTTGCTGTGATGGCTGTTGTCTTCGGTAACATGTCCTGGACTGACATTAGGGCATGGGGTTTTTGGAGGTCGAACAGGGTCCTGGCTGCACGCTACCTTGTAAATGTTCTTGGGCCTAGTTGGGCATGTCACTTTGGGTCAGCGATTGCAGCCTGTTTTCTTGACTTCGAGTTGAGGTGCAAGCACCAACCGCCTCCTGGGTATGCCTTCGTCTTTGGTGATGATAGTTCCCTCTCAGAAAATCAGCATTGAATGCAGTGAAATTACATTTTCTGGGTGAAATCCGGAGGCTCCCTGGCACCCCCATCCCCTCCGGTTGGTGGTTTATCGCGTATTTTGACATCCAGCCTCGAACTGAAGGGTGGATTGCTGGCACGGTGGGTCTGGGGCTCCCCTTTCTCCCTCCAGGGGAGGGGGAAGCTGCACAGACATGCTGCGTGACTCATATGATGTCATGCTCATTTGCTCGTTTTCATTTGGGGAGTTCTGTTCACTCATTAGTTTATTTTTGTCATTTTAACCAGAATAGGGGTTTGTTTTGAGGTACTTACCTTTCTGGATGCCTGGCCCGGTTGATGGCAGATATAGAATGCTCCAAATACCATGTGTTTTTCTATAAGCCATTGTTCCTCGTGCCTCTCTGAGGGGGTTCGTTGTCTCCGGTAAGCCTAGAACTCCTTTCACACTGACTGATGCCAAAGTCTAATGATATACATATCAGCCTGAATAGCTCCGGGAGCCTACGGGTCTCACCCAGAAAATGGCATTTCATTACATGTAACGCTAGTTTTTTGATAAGTTTACCTACATATTAATGGCATATGTAAAATGCTGAACCAAATGTCATTGTACAGACTAGATCCAGCCTGCAGGCTGGAGACTGCCCATGCCTAGTGTAAACCCATTGGTAAAATGTGGGGAGAGTAGGGAATGAGTAGCCTAAGAAATGGTCGGTGTAGTTTGCTTTTTTTTTTATTTTTTAAATTGGCTTGAATTTTAGCATAGTTTTAAGTGGAAACGTTGTGGAAATTGTTTTAAGGTTTCTTGATACAGATAATAATCTGGAGTTCACTAGATTATATCTCAGCATCAGTTTAAAAAAATATGAGAGGGGGTAAGGCCTTAATATAGTACTGTATGTAATTTTTAGCACAATATATCTGTAATACCTTTGTCTAACTAGTGTATCTCATCAGATCACCTAATAGGTATGTTTGATATAATTTTAGATATTGGGCAGTTTGTGCTCACTACTTATGCTTTGAGGTTAGTAGAATGTCTTTTATTACAGTGTGGCAGAATTTTCTCGAGAGCACCAAGATTTGAATTGTTTTTGGGTTTCAGGTTCCCAGACCTCTCCTCACATGTGCTTTCACATCTCTCTAAGAGTTTTTAAGAATTAAGATATTGTCATCATTGAGAATTATGTGATGAAAGTGCTTATTAGGCCTATGTATTTAGTATGTTCTAAATATTGCTTGCTTAATTTATACAACAATTGTGAGTAAATCTCTTACTGCCTCACAAATTTCACAATGCAAGGGGAACCTACTGACAAAAATCCGATCTTACGAATGGCCTTAAAATGCAAATATTAGCCCTATGTTTAGCTATGCAAACCTTTTCTGAACTCTGTACCTGAAGAACAGTGCTAATAATGCACTATTTCAGTTGTTTATCCATAAAAAGTACCTCAATAATGGCTGATAAGATTAGGAAGTGTGTTGGTAGGGCACCAGGGTCTATGCATCATCACCATATACTGCCTCCATCTTTAGCAATTATACCTCTGCTCTTCAAACAGCATAAAATCAAACAAGGAGGGGCAACTATATAATTCAAGGTAAATAAAAAGCACTGTTTTTATATTGTCCCCCAAAATTAGGATTTATTATGCTTCTTTTTGGTACAAAAACACATACCCCATCTATTGCATTCCGTGTATGAGAAATCTGGTTCAGAATTTTAAATGGCCAACTTACAAATGTCTTCAGAACGCATACTGTTTGTAAGTTAGGGACTACCTGGATATTGTTTTTCCCTCCAGAATGAACAGTTAAAATTTAATCACTGAAACCAGGATTTAACACGCTGTTTATGGTACCATTTTAATAAGATATGGCGAACAATATTTTATATATCATAGGCTATATAGACTATTGGATGTAGATATTAATAATGCACTACTGTATTTTTTCTGTTGAATTTGCTTAGCATTTATTTATCCAGCTCGTATAACATATTTATATACTTAGAGTTGTGTTGCAATAAGCATTTATATTTGAGAAGATATATCATGGGGGATGTAAAGTTTCATCCTAACTCTCTCTTAATTACTATTTTGAATTATGTATTGTGTTACAGGTATTGAAAGGAATATTCCTTTTTCATTAAAAGCTTTGCAAAAGAAAATATCTTAAGTATTCCTTAACAAATCTATACTTTTAACAGAGAAAAGGAAGCCATGTCAAGACAATCCCTCCATATCGTCCCGTCCCATTGGAGGCTGGAGCTTCAGACGATGATAAGGAATCCAGAGACACTAAACTAAAGAGACGAACTGGACGTCCACCTGGTGTCAAGCCATCTGGTCGTGAAGGAAAACTTGGTGATATCATTGCATCAGGAAGCACTAGTGCTAGTTCCAGTGGGGTGGTGGAACGCCTGGACAGAGGACTTGGGGGAGAAGAGAACGCTGGTGTAGCCCCTGGAAGCTCGGGTATAGCTTTGGGAATCAGTGTTAACTCATCAATTGTCGTCCCTAATAAGGCTGAAAGAGCAGCTAAAATATCAGAACCTAGCCTTGTTAATAGTGCTTCCTTGTCTGTCTCTGTGACCAAGGTTACGGCGCCGATAACAGTCAGTGCATTTTTATCTAATTCAACTTCCATTACTCCTCCTTCTACCTCATCCTCACCCTTAACACCATCCTTTCCTACGTCTTTATCTTCAGTGTCAACGTCATTTTCACTCGCAGCACCGCCTACATCCACTTGCACAACAACTTTCCCATCATCATCAACAACAACATTATCGACTACTGTTTCTAGCTTGTCATCATCATTAATATCATCTGTACCGCCTATATTGACTGTAACTCCATCTTTACCCCGCGCTAAAATATCAGAACCACATCCCCATCCTCCAGTCACTGCAACACTTGAAAGCCCTAACCAGATATCCTTGCCACACGCCCAGTCACATAATCAAGCACACATGCCGTTACCTGCTGATGCTGACAAAGACAAAGAGAAACAGCAGGAACGAAATCGTAAGCTTCGACGTAATGGCCCAAGAACTCCAAGTGGAAATAGCAACTTTGGGGACACTGAATCGAATGTTTCAAATGATGAGGCCCATTCTAGTGACCTTGTTTTAACTATATGTGAAGAAAAGAACCTAAGTAGTGTTGAAAAAGAATCAAATAAAGTGCCAAGTAAACCTTTGGACTCTTCAGACGATGGTGGGACCTTAAATGTTCAGTTCACACCAAATATGTCTACCTTGACTTCTAAACCTGTTACTGATCCATTCACCCCAACTATGGCTGACTTTGCTTCAAGTGAACCAGCAAAGAGAGGGAGGTAAGTTCATTTTAGATGACAAAGCATTTCTGTTATTTATATTCAGATAAGTTTATTGAGGTATAAATACACACAAAGGGACGAGGTAGCTCAAGCTATTCTCACCCCGTTCAGTGTGTGTGTGTGTGTGTGTGTGTGTGTGTGTGTGTGTACTCACCTATTTGTACTCACCTATTTGTGCTTGCGGGGGTTGAGCTTTGGCTCTTTGGTCCCGCCTTGGTCCGTGTGTGTGTGTGTGTGTGTGTGTGTGTGTGTGTGTGTGTGTGTGTGTGTGTGTGTGTGTTAGTGTGTGTGTGTGTGTGTGTATGTGCATATTCTAGTATATATATATATATATTTATATATATATATATATATATATATATATATATATATATATATATATATATATATATTTCTTTATATATTTAAAGATTTCTCATATATATAGGTTGTGTGGGGTCTATATATATATGTCGTACCTAGTAGCCAGAATGCACTTCTCAGCCTACTATGCAAGGCCTGATTTGCCTAATAAGCCAAGTTTTCTTGAATTAATATATTTTCTCTAATTTTTTTCTATCAGTCAGAAAATTTTTCATCCATGATAGAAGCTTACCTGTCACCCCTCCAATATTTTCCAGTTTCCAGAACAACCTCTTATGTGGAACTCTGTCGAAAGCCTTTTTTAGGTCCAGATAGATGCAGTCAACCCAACCATCTCTTTCCTGTAATATCTCTGTGGCTCGATCATAGAAACTGAGTAAATTCATTACTGTCTGTCTGATATTATATCATTTCTCTCTAGGTGTTCTACCCATTTAGTTTTGATTAGTTTTTCCAATACTTTCACTATTACACTTGTCAATGATACAGGTCTATAATTGAGGGGGTCTTCCCTGCTGCCATTTTGTAGATTGTATGAGGTAAAAAAAAATTTATTGGAGTTAAAATTAACGTAGATATATGACCAACATTTCCTAACCAACCCTACCTAACCTAACCTAACCTATCTTTATAGGTTAGGTTCGGTTTGGTAGCAGAAAAAATTTCTTTCTGTTAGGTTAGGTTAGGTTAGTTTGTAGGTTAGGTAGTCGAAAAACAATTATTTCATGAAAACTTGGCTTATTATGCAAATTGGGCCTTGCATAGTAGGCTGAGAAGTGCGTTCTGGCTACTAGGTACGACATATATATATATATATATATATATATATATATATATATATATATATATATATTTCAAGTTGAAGTCACCGACTATCAACATATATATATATATATATATATATATGCGAACAAGCCTGAATGGTCCCCAGGACTATAGGATTTATAGGTTAGGAATGGTCCCAGTTTCATATTCATATATTATATATATATATATATATATATATATATATATATATATATATATATATATATATATATATATATATATATATATATATATATATATGTCGTACCTAGTAGCCAGAACGCACTTCTCAGCTTACTATGCAAGGCCCGATTTGCCTAATAAGCCAAGTTTTTATGAATTAATTGTTTTTCGGCTACCTAACCTAACCTATAAAGATAGGTTAGGTTAGGTTAGGTAGGGTTGGTTAGGTTCGGTCATATATCTACGTTAATTTTAACTCCAATAAAATAAAATTGACCTCATACATAATGAAATGGGTAGCTTTATCATTTCATAAGAAAAAAATTAGAGAAAATATATTAATTCAGGAAAACTTTGCTTATTAGGCAAATCGGGCCTTGCATAGTAGGCTGAGAAGTGCGTTCTGGCTATTAGGTACGACATATATATATATATATATTTGGTTAGGTATATAGGTAGGTTATATTATATATATATAATATATATACTAGGTATATATATATATATATATACACACACACACACACACACACACACACACACACACACACACACACACACACACACACACACACACACACACACACACACACAACACAACACATAGACACATCACAATCAACATATTACAGGACATTGTGTCATTCTGTGATAAATATATACATATCTTCATTTACAAATGCAGTGTGTTACTAGATGTACACACACACATACTTTTATGACTAGGTACACATTCAATTTGCAATGGACATTAAGACATTTCAACAAATGGTTACAATCTAGTTTTTTGCTATTATTTTTACTAGATTAAAAAATAACCTGATGAAAGTTTATATGTTTGGATATTGTTTACTATATATGTATTTTGTTCTTAAAATTATTTTAACTGGTTGAATATTATTAACCCTTTGAGCTGCTTGGCAAGCGCACCCCAGCCCACCCCCAATGTGGGCCTGGTGTTTTCCGGGAGCGTGCACCCACACTAAAATGTGTATACAGTACTCCTTTTCAGTCTTCTCATGTCAATTTTCATATTACATCGTTAATTTTGGTATCAAATTGTCCACAATAGAATTCTCTAAAGGGGTATAGGCATATGAGTGTTATCCGTGACCATGTCATTGCACTAAAATGTGAATACAGTACTCTTTTCAGTTTTCTCACGTAAATTTTTGGGTTACTGTACATCGTTCGTTTTGGTATCAAATTGTTCGCAAAAGAATTCTTTAATGGGATATATGCATATAAGATCAGAAAGCCCAGCGTGCCACCCACAGCAAACCCGAAAATCGGCCGAGCGTTACCCATGGTCTTGTACCCATCCTCACGCCAACACTAAAATGTGTATACTCTGTTCAGTTTTCTCACCTCAATTTTCATGTTACGTCGTTTGTTCTGGTATCAAATTGTTCGCAATCTAAAGGCAAGCATTTTACAACTAGTCCCAAAATGATGGGATAAATACTGAGTATTGGAATTTTAACATATTTTAATTTTGAACACCACATGCGTTCCTGCCGGGCATCCGCAAGAGTTACTTGTGGACGTCAACTCTGTCCTCAGAGGACGAAAGCGTTAAAATGTTTGCTCAGGTTCTTTTGTAACATGCTAGCATAACTTTGAATGTCAAGTTTGAGAGATAAGCCAGAGATGTGAAATCTCCATCTAGAGACATGTTTTATATCCAGCCTTTGTAGTGATGATCAATATTTTTTTTTTTTATACAAATACTATTAACTTTTATTTATGTTTTTTGAAAAATTTCCTGAATTCTCATAAATTATATGTAACCAGATTTATAAGTTAATGGATCCAGAAATGGCTGGAGGTTCTATATGCCTGGCTTAAACAACAGACTAGTTGGACTTTCAAGTGTTAAGGTAAATGTGTCTAGGACTTAAACTCTAATATAATGAAAAATCAGGTCTTTTGTTACCATGCACATGTTCAATACACAGTGTTAGTGTGAGTGCATGTTCAATATAAAGTGTTTGTGTGAGTGCATGTGTTTGCTTTTGATAGTTTCATATGAAATTTATGTTGGTCAACTTTAGGACCAAACACTCCGAATTGGTAAAATTTTCCCCTCTTGTTTTTTTTAAATGGATGATAAGTTACTGTGTACATGTCATATTTAAAACATTATTTTTGGAAAAATAGCTAATTTATGGGTAGAGTTGCCAGGGTATCATAGTTCTAGCATATTAGTAGTCACTGTATTCTACTTTGTGTATGAGAGCTCGGTTGACACTAATTAGCATTGCACCTTCCAGACCATATTTGCCATTAGAAACATGAAAGAAAAGATATGTAGAACAAAGGTGATGGGCATCCCACCTGGCCAGTGCAGCTAAATGTATCATTCTGTACATTTTATTCCCAACCCATTAAAGGTTTCCTTTCACTGGTTTCCAACATTTCACCCAGTTGTTGTTTGCATCGTTAATGGCGTATCTTTTTCTGGGGGGAGCCTCCAGGACTCACCCAGAAAATGGCGTTTCATTACATTCAACGCTGGTTTTATGAATCTTATAAGTTCGTTCAGACTTATTTACTATCTGATATCTTTCCTGGAAGGGCCAAATGGTGATGCCCTGTTGCTAGCTGTTGCTCCACACTTATAAGTCATATCAGCCCTAGGAGACTTATAGTCTATCAGAGACCTGGCCTCCTCATTGAGACACAGGAAGTAGAGGGTTTCTACATTCCCCTAACCAAAGAAATGATTCCAGAAATGAAGGGAAGAAAAACTGACACCTGCAATGTTCACAGAAGGTAAACAAAGCAGCAAATGACTGCAAATGTTCCACCCAGTAGTTAGGTCACCCTATCTAGCTCCAGCTGGCAGGTGGCAGCACTATGGGAGGGAGGGAGGGAACTATCAGGGGAAAGTACCAAGCCATTACGCCTATATAGCTCTGGGAAGGGGTTAGGATAAGGATTTAGGATGGGACGGAGGGAAGGAATGGTGCCCAACCACTTAGACAGTCGGGGATTGAACGCCGACCTGCATGAAGAGTGACTGTCGCTCTGCCATCCAGTCCAAGTGGTTGGGCACTTGAGCACTATGGGAGCTGTTAGCTCCTCATGTTAACAATGATAAGTCCTTCATCTGATGTCAGATACATCTGACCTGCTCCTTAAATGACTGGCCTTTTGGATCCCATTTTCTAAAGAGGTGTTGGTCATCTTTTGGACTCTGTCATCATTGCTGAGGCCTCTCAATTCTGGTATTAATCTAGTTGCAAATCTCTGAACTTTCTCAAGCTTCTGTTTATGCATCACAAGGTGAGGGTTCCATGCTGGAGCTGCATTTTTAAGTAATGGTCTCACATTCTCACATGGGTACAGTAGAACCTCGAGTGACGACCGCCTCATTCATTCACATTTTGGGTAACGAATGCCCCGATAGCCGACAATTCGTCTCATTAGGTGACCGCTTGTTTGAATAACGTCAACACCACATGGTGGGGTCTGGGGCGGCTTCTTGCACATTCTCTGACGCCTCTGACGATGCAAATACAGTAGATTATTTATCTTTGTGTACAGATGCTATTGATGTTGACCAGACCACACACTAGAAATTGAAGGAACGACGACGTTTCGGTCCGTCCTGGACCATTCTCAAGTCGATTGTCCATTCTCACAATCGACTTGAGAATGGTCCAGGACGGACCGAAACGTCGTCGTTCCTTCAATTTCTAGTGTGTGGTCTGGTCAACATACTTCAGCCACGTTATTGTGACTCATCGCCTGCAGATGCTATTGATGCTGGGATGTTGCAAGGCATTGACTTTTTGTAGAAAAACGAAATGAACTTTTTTAAAGAAAGAACAAATGTCAAAAAAGGCTCATTTGGTGTTTGTCAGGTAGGCTGCTCCATGTTAATTCTTATATATAAAAAAAAAAATGAAGAATTTTGAAAAACAACAAATGTCAAAAAGGTTCGTTCAGTGTTCGGCAGGTAGGCTGCTCCATGTTTCTTAAATAAAAAACAAAAAATAAAAAAACAGTTGAAACAATTTGAAAAACGGACAAATGCCAAAAAGGTTCGTTCAGTGTTTGTCAGGTAGGCTGCTCCATTATTGAGAAATAAATAAAAAATACAAAACAAATGGAGCACATATGAAACACAGAAAGATTGTCATGATGGAGCAGCCTACCTGACAAACACTGAACGAACGAACCTTTATGGCATTTGTCCATTTTTCAAATTGTTTCAACTTTTTTTATATTTTGTTTTTTGTTTTTTATTTAAGAAACGTGGAGCAGCCTACCTGCCGAACACCGAACAAACGTCTTTGACATTTGTTCTGTTTTCATTTTTTTTTTTTTATCAGAAACATGGAGCAGCCTACCTGGCAAACACAGAACGAACCTTTTGCTATACAAAAAATGAAAGAAAAATTTTGAACAAATTTGAAGAAAGAAAAATGTCTTAAATTTTGGTTCAGTGCATGTAAGGTAGGCTGCTCCATTATTTAAAACATCGAATATCATATTGATGTTTTTCGGTGATAGAACGAATTAATTTGATTTCCATTATTGTCAATGGCGATATTCGTTTTGTATGACGTCCGTTTCACATGACGATCATGGAGCCGGAACGGATTAAATTCGTTATTCGAGGTTCCACTGTACTGTTTGGAATTGAAAGCCTCCTTGTGTAGATTCTTAAATGGTGTTCTAATATTTGCTAGCTTCCCATATGCTTATGATGTTAGTGTTGGGATAATGTGTACTTCCAGATCTTTTCTCTTATAGTTTCTCCTAATTGCCATCCCCCTGTGGTATAGTCAAATACAGGTCTTCTATCTTCCTTACCTGTTTTTATTACTTTACACAAATTTGGATTGAACTCCAGCTGCCATATATCTGCCCTCTCCTGAAGTTTGTTAAGGTCTTCTTGCAGCACCCTACAGTCATTTTCATTTTAGACACTCCACATTAACTTTGCATCGTCTGCAAACATCGACATGTATGAACTCACTTCCTCTGTGAGGTCACATCATTTAAAAACAGCAATGATTGAAAGTGGTTTTCCATAGAGCCCTATGGAACATCACTTTCCACTCCTCTCCATCTTAACATATTCTTTCTGACTATGACCCTTTTGCCTTTTGTCTGCCAAGTACTCCTGTACCCAATCCTGTGCCTTTCCTATTATTCCCGCTTGTTTTGCCATCTTTTGTACAATTTTTTCTTAAGAATTGTATCAAGGTTTTTTTTGCAGGGGATGAAGAAGCGGTCTTATCCATCCTTCATTCTCGTGTCTAATTTTAGTGACCCTGCCATAGAATTCAATTAAGTTTGTTAAGCATAATTTTCCCTCTTTAAAGTCATTTTGTGTCTATCTACATATATATATGCAGTATATATATACCTGTATATATATATATATATATATATATATTTATTATTTATTTATTTATTTATTTATTTATTTTACACCCACATACATACATACATACTTTCTAGAATTTTGCATGGAATGGTGAAAACTAGTAAGATGTGCATGTTCTATAAGATTTCAGAGCCAATCATTGTGTTTTGAATGAGATTTCATTATCTGATTTTATTTGAAGTTTTCTGACAATTCAATTCTAAAACAATGCTTACACCATTCCATCTTTTAGATCATTTATGTAGACAACATTACCATTTGATCCCGTTAATGAAACTGCTGAAGTGTTGTGTGAACACTACAGTTGCTTTGGATGGTGAGGACCGATTTATGCCTTATAATTATTGTCTTATAACTTTTATAGATCTGGCAGTCAGGAACGAGGGCGGAGATCTAAACGAGGCATGGGTAAGCGCGGACGCCCTGGAGGTATACGGGACACTGGTGGGCGAGACTCGGGAGCGTCCTCCCCCGATTCGTTTACCAGCGAGTCGGCACCAGCACCTAAAAGAGGGCGAAAGAAAGCAGACACTAAGGAGTGAGTTTAGCTTTAATTCAGTAATGGTATTAGTTGCTTTGTTTTGTTTCTTGATTACTAGTAGGTTGACCACTGTACTGTGCAGGTAATAAAATATGACTAGCCCTGGGTGTGTAGAAAAAGTTATTCCCCCCAATTTTTTGTTCTTACGGTATTAAAATGCATTCTCTGATCATGGGAAGCTAAAAAATATTTTTAGTGACATACTTTTTCATCCTCTTCTGGAAATTCATCAAACCCCTGTGATGTGATGGTTTCACTACATACAGTAATGACATTTAAGCAGTGTAATCAGGTCTTCATAGGTCATCGTATAATTACCTAAGTGTAGTTACAGGATGAGAACTTCACTCGTGGTGTCCCATATTCTCAGCATTCTTTTTGTCATATAATGCTTTGAAACTACTGACAGTTTTGGCCTCCACCACCTTCTCACTTAACTTGTTCCCACTGACTACCACTTTGTTTGCGAAAGCGAGTTTTCTTATATTTTTTCGGAAGCTTTGTTAAATTAGTTTTAATATATGACCTCTTGTTCTTGAAGTTCCAGGTCTCAGAAATTCTTGTCTTATCAATTTTATAGATTCCCGCTACTGTTTTGTACGTGGTGATCACATTGCTCCTTTTCTTCTATTCTCTTGTTTTGGCATATTTAGTGCTTCTAACCTTTCCTTGTACCTCTGTTCCGAGGAAAATAGCAACACAGTAGAAATTAGAAGGTAGCTCTATTCTCTGTTCCGAATCTTCAGTTCTGGGAGCCATTTAGTTGCATGTCTTTGCACCTTTTCCAGTTTGTAGATGTGTTTCTTAAGATATGGGCACCATACAACTGCTGCATATTTAACATAGCTGCTTTGGTTTAACAAAGGTCTTGAACAATTTCTTCAGTATTTCACCATCCATGTATTTAAAATCAATTTTGAAATTGGAAAGTGTAGCATTGGCTTCTCACACAGTGTTCTTTGTGGCTCTCTGGTGATAGTTTTCTGTTTAAAACCACCCCTAGATCTCTTTCTCTACCAGAAATTTTTTGAAAGATTTTTTTACATAATTTATAGGTTGTGTGGTCTATGTTCTCATATTCGACATTCCATAACATGACATTTATTCACATTAAATTCCATTTGCCATGTGGTGCTCCATACTTATTTTGTCCAGGTCTTCTTGAAGGGCGTGGCAATCATCTAAGATTCTTATCATCCCTAGTATCTTAGCATCATCAGCAAATATATTCATATAATTCTTTATTCCATCTTTTAGGTCATTTATGTAGACAACATTACCGTTCCAAGAACTGAACCCAGTACTCCACTCGTGACATTTCTCCAGTTCGATACATTGCCTCTGATTACTGCCTTCATTTCCTATCAGAAATATTTTCATCCATGTTAGAAGCCTACCTGTCACTTCTCTAGTATGTTCCAGTTTCCAGATCAACCACTTACGTAGAATTCTGTCAAAAGCTTTTTGCAGAAAATTTCTGAATATCATCCTTAACCTGCAATTTACTTTTGATGAATTTATAGAATAGTGCCTGGTTCTGTTTTACATTTGTCCGCTATCCCTTTCTCAAAATTCCTTTCTGCCTCTCTCCTTACGTCTGTGTAGTTGTTTCGTGCTTCTTTGTATTGCGGGTATGTTTGAGGGTTTGACCTTTTCCTTTGTTGATACCATTCTTGTGTCTTATGGTCTCTGGCCCTCTTGCAATTTCTAAGTTCCCCATAATGTTCTCTCTTGAAATCAGGTTTTCCAATTGCTTCAACTTTCTCATTCTCTTCCAGATTATAATGCATTGGATACTTTGTTCCCAAAAAGACATGGTCACTTTTACCCAAGGGAGGGAGGTAATTAATGTCATATACCTCTTCCTCGTTGCTGGTGAATAACAAATCCAGCATGGAGGGAACATACCCTCCTCTCATCCTCGTAGCTTGTTTAACGTGTTGATATATGAATGTTTCAAGGATGAGGTTCACGAATCTACGGGTCCAAAAGTCCTCTGTTCTAGCAACTCTGTCCTCTGTAGTTTTGTGGTAACTCTGGTATAGACACGTTACGTAGGACACTATAAACTGCTGTACCCAGTGAAACTAAGAGTACTGATTTCTTGTTTGTGTCCTCTTTAATCCATTTGTACTCAAAATTTCCTTCTAGCAGGCTCAGCCACAGGTCAAGTGAGACCTTGGTAACATCAAATGGTTCCTTCTCGACTTAGAACAATGAGGTAGCCATGGTCACAGTGGTCAAGAACAATGAGGTAGCCATGGTCACAGTGGTCAAGAACAATGAGGTAGCCATGGTCACAGTGGTCACAGCTATAATTTTGCCCCTGACTGTCCACATGACGTACTCTCCCTGCCTGATACTCTCTTTGTCAGCTGCTAGTTGGACTCCTCGCATCTGTTGTTAATTCTTGTCACCACTGTTATGTTTGGGCATGGAGGGATATATTTTTATTTATAGCATGGCAATTTATTTCCAAAACAGACAAGTGTTGTCAACGGTATAAGGGGCATGTATATAACACTTATATTCCTTATTGACAATTGTGTATTGGTTCTTCATATTTTGAACCTAACCTAGGTAGTACTTAATCCTCCAAAATATCTTCAGTCCTAACAGGTGGCCCACCCCCGTTCCCCATGATATCACGGGTTAAGTACAGTAGTGCAGTACAGTGGTTAAATACTTAATAGATTATTCTAATGGTGATATAATGTACTGTATTGGGTTTTCTCCATCATTATTCTCATTGTGCTCATCAACACCAACTCTAGCCATGTTTCCCATATTCAGTGGGTGGGAAGGCACTCGCCAGGAAGCGAAGGAAAAGATCTTTGAAAGAACTGGGTAAAAGATGTTTATAGTGTTTTCTCATTAATAAAGTGCAGTAAATCATATACAGTAGTCTGTATAGACAGGGTATTAACTCTTACAGATCTCATTAGGCCTCTGATGAGAGTTGTGAATCTCGATATTAAATATCTTGAGGGATGTCTTATATCATCCTAATGAAATATTTATCTGTTCTTTCATCTTCATCTTCATTATCATTGTCATCATAGTGATGATTATAATCATCATCAACAACTCTTACCACGTTTCCCATTTTCAGGGGGTGGGAAGGCACTCGGCAGGAAAGGAAGGAAATGTACTATGAGAGAAACTGGTAAACGATGTTTTGTAGTGTTTTTATCATTAATAAAGTACTGCAAATCATATTTTCATTGGGTTATGCTCTTAGGTTCAGGTGGTTTATTTATACCTTACTTTACAATGTGATATGAATTGTTATTCTCCGTGTCAAAGATCTTATGGGAATACTGTACTGTACTTATTTGTTTGTATTCTAGTTGTTATATAAAATATTGTTTTTGGAAGGGCTCCTAAGGTAGCTCCTTGAGCTAACTACTTGGATAGCTCCACCCAATTCAGTTCACTCCAGACCCTTGTAAGTCATTGTAAGCCTATGGTGACTAGAGGCCAAATCCTATCCTGCTGATTCACAGTGGTGCAAGGAGCAAAGTATATTAGATGACCAAGAAAATGCCACCAGCACTCGATTTTAAGTAGGTGGGAAGATTTTCAATCGATTTTATCAATTCCTACATACAAAATAGTAACAGGAATTGATAAAATTGATAGGGAAGATTTCCTGAGACCTGGAACTTTAAGAACAAGAGGTCATAGATTTAAACTAGCTAAACACAGATGCCGAAGAAATATAAGAAAATTCATTTTCGCAAACAGAGTGGTAGACGGTTGGAACAAGTTAGGTGAGAAAGTGGTGGAGGCCAAGACCGTCAGTAGTTTCAAAGCTTTATATGACAAAGAGTGCTGGGAAGATGGGACACCATGAGCGTAGCTCTCATCCTGTAACTACGCTTAGGTAATTACCAGAAAGGTGGATGACTCAAATCATGCAATCAGGAAGGTAAACAAGGCTTGGGAACTAAGACACCAAACACCCGAAACAAACCACCCAATTGTGAAGCAGCAACATACGTATACATACTGTATATTTATATACTCGGGTATTGGAGTTAATACACTGTCGGGTATTGGGTATTGGAGTTAAAGTTTAGATGACTTTCCAATAGTTTTGTACAGTCTATGGCCGAGAGATTGAACTCCATGGAGCCAAGGGGCATGGAGGCCCCTGGCTGACCGAGTTCGAATCATTCAGGGGTCACAAGTTTTCTGATGCATGTTGGCTTGGGGACCTTTCAAGCTTGACACACACACATGTATATGTATGTATATTTATGTACTCACCAAGTTGTGCTTGCAGGGGTTGAGCTGCGACTCTTTGGTTCCGCCTCTCAACCGTCAATCTACTAGTGTACAGATTCTTGAGCTTCTCGAGCTCTATCATATCTACATTTGAAATTGTGTACCTCGAGGTGTTTTCGGGGCTTAGCAACCCCGCGGCTTGGTCGTCAACCAGGCCTCCTGATTGCTGGACTGGTCAACCAGGCTGATGGACGCGGCTGCTCGCAGCCTGACGTATGAGTAACAGCCTGGTTGTTCAGGTATCCTTTGGAGGTGTTTATCAAGTTCTCTCTTGAACACTATGTGAGATCGGCCGGTTATGCCCCTCATGTGTAGTGGAAGTGTCTTGGGCCTCTAATGTTGATAGAGTTCTTTCTCAGAGTACCTATTGCACCTCTTCTCTTCAACGGGGTATTCTGCACATCCTGCCATGCCTTCTGGTCTCATGTGATGTTATTTCTGTGTGCAGGTTTGGGACCAGCCCCTCTACTATTTTCCATTTGTAAATTATTATGAATCTCTCCTGCCTGCATTCAAGAGAATACAGATTTAGGCTCCAATAGTTTAAATGCTTTACTGAGTGGATTCTAGCAGTAAGGATCTCTGCACGCTCTCCAGGTCAGCAATTTCTCCAGCTTTGAAAGGGGCTGTCATTGTGCAGCAGTATTCTACTCTAGAGAGCACTAGCGTCTTGAAAAGTATCATCGGTATAGCATCTCTAGTGTGAAAGGTTCTTGTTATCCAACCTGTCATTTTTCTTGCAGTTGTGATGGCTACTTTATTGTGTTCCTTGAAGGTAAGGTCTTCCGATATGAGTACACCCAAATCCTTTACATTGCCTTTTCGTTCTATGTTATGATTTGACTGTGTTTTGTACGTGGTCTCTGCTGTTAATATTTTGTTTCCCCGTAGCGCAAAGGATGATATAGTACTATAGATTGTGTCCTTGTCTATGGCCGATATGAGGATGAGAAAAAATACTGGAGCAAGCACAGTACCCAGGGAGACTCGGCTCTTCACGGTTGATGGACCGGATTTTATTTTAACTATTACACATTGGGTTCTATTAGTCAGGAAATTGTAAATCCATCTGCCTATTTTTCCGGTAATTCCTTTTGAATGCATTTTGTGTGCAATAACACCAATAACATTTGTTGAAGGCTTTTGCAAAATCTGTAAATTACATCAGCGTTTTGTTTGTCTTCTATGGCATCTAATGCCATGTCATAGTGGTCCAGCAACTGTGACAGGCAAGAGCGCCCTGTTCTGAAACCATGTTGTCCGGGATTATGGAAATGTTGTGATTCCATGTATTTTGTGATCCTACTTCTGATCACTCTCTCAATTATTTTTATGATGTGTAATGTTAGTGCTATCAGTCTGTAATTCTTTGCCTCTGCCTTATTTCTCCTTTATGGAGTGGTGCTATCTCTGCTGTTTTTAGTATGTCAGGGATAATGCCAGTATCTAGGCTTTGTCTCCAAAGAATGTGAAGGGCCTGTGATAGTGTTTTTTTACAGTTCTTGATGAATATAAAGTTCCAAGAATCAGGGCTTGGTGCAGAGTGCATTGGCATACTGTTTATGGCTTCAAAATCAAGTGAAGATAGGGTGACATCTGATATATGATTTGATGTCGGTATCATATCCATGAAAAATTCTTTTGGGTTATCAATCTTTAGTGGCTCGCTGAAAACAGTCGTACTGCTTCCTCAGCATCTCGCTCATTTCTTTGTTGCCATCGGCGAAAGTTCCATCTTTCTTTAGAAGGGGCCCGATATTAGATGTGTTTTTTTAATCTTGATCATAGGAGAAAAAATATTTCTGCTTTCTCTCTACTGTATTTTACTGATAGCCTTTTGCTCTCTTTGCCTCTCCTGGGTTTTGTATGATTCTTGTAGCTTTAGTTTAATTGTTTCAATTTCTCTACCTAACCTTCTTTGCCATTCTTAAGATAAGGTGCAGCTCTCAAGTTGTTCCGCGATTCGTTTTGTTCGCCTATAAAGGAAATGATGTTCCCGTTCCAATCTGCATCTTTTCCTCTTTTTTTTTTTCTGAGGGGTATGCGGTTTGAGCATATTTCCAGTACTACTGAGCTTATTTTTTCCAGGCACTGGTTCATGTTTGCATTTTCAAGCTGTTCTTCCCAGCTTATTCCTCTGAATTCTTGGTTTATTTGCTCCCAGTTTATCTGTTTATTATTGAAGTTGAATTTGCTGAAATCTCCTCTACCAGGAATTGAGACTGGTTTTGAAGGTCTATTCCCATGCTTGTCAGAACTTCAATTAAGTTGTGATCTGAGTAACAGTTATTTGTAATCATTGTGTTCCTGATCAATTCATCATTATTTTTTAAGATGAGGTCCAGCGTGTTCTTCCTAGTTCTACTATTTGCTGATTTAAGGCAATCCTGTCGCACATCCGTAGCAGGTCATTTGCATGTGCCTGTTCATTTAAGCTACTTCCCGGAATTCTCTCTGATATAACTATTAGTTAGGGTCTTCCATTTCAGGTGCCGTAGGTTGAAGTCCCCAAGCAGGATGATGTTTGGGGCTGGATTTGTGAGGTTTTCTAAGCAGTGTTCTATTTTCATTAGTTGGTCTTTTAAACTGCTGGTGATTTGCCTCTGGTGACTTATATACAAGGGCAATAACTACATATAAGATCTCTATTTTGATTATCAACACTTCCACCATTTCATTTGTGGTGTTTAGCAGCTCAGGTGTATGTGGTGTATGGGTTAACATTGACTGACAAGGGACAGGCATGGATTAAATTGGGTGGAGCTATCCAGGTAGGTAGGTAGCTTGAGGAGCCATCATAAAAAGGTGTTTCATTACATTCAGTTCTGTTTCTTTTTGGTTTTCTTCGTCATCATCATTTTCATCGACAACAACCTTACCATATTTCTGATTTTCAGTGTGTGAGCTGGCACTTGCCAAGAAAGGAAGGAAAAGTACTGAGGGAGAATTGTGTAAAAGATGTTTCTAGTTTTTTTATCATTGATTTAGTTTAGCAAATTATATGTTCACATGCTTATGTTCTTTCAGATATAGGTTTCTATGATGTGAATTGTCACTCATAGTCCAAGCTCATTTGAAATGTACAGTTGGTTCCGAATATTTTCATCCCCTTGATCTGACACTTATAGGCAATTGCTGGTGTAGTGACGTTAGTAATGTGGTAGCCAGTTGGGTGATCCCGGGACCTGCAGGTTCGAACCCTGGTGAGATTGTAAAGTGTATAATGATTTACAGTTTGGGTACTATTTAGCTTTCATACTTGTGGAATCGGCAGGAACTATGCATGTGCTAGGATTTAATGAAAACTTTCCCCAAATGGCATCACGAGTGTTGCCAGGAGTTGGTTGGTCATGGAACTTGTGTGGTGGCATGCGAGGTCTGCGAGCAATCAACACAGGCAATTACTGATGTAATTGCAGGCCGAAAAAGCAAAGCTCAACCCCTGCAAAACACAACTAGGTGAATACACACACACACACACACACACAAGTGTGTGTGTGTGTGTGTAGCACACCTGCCACTCCTGCAGCACACACACACTGCATTTTCTTGGATTGTCGGAAAGCCTTTGACACAGTACCGCATAAGAGGCTGGTACATAAGCTGGAGAGACAGGCAGGTGTAGCTGGTAAGGTGCTCCAGTGGATAAGGGAGTACCTAAGCAATAGGAAGCAGAGAGTTACGGTGAGGGGTGAGACCTCCGATTGGCGTGAAGTCACCAGTGGAGTCCCACAGGGCTCTGTACTCGGTCCTATCTTGTTTCTGATATATGTAAATGATCTTCCGGAGGGTATAGATTCATTTCTCTCAATGTTTGCGGACGATGCCAAAATTATGAGAAGGATTAAGACAGAAGAGGACTGTTTGAGGCTTCAAGAAGACCTAGACAAACTGCAGAAATGGTCAAACAAGTGGTTGTTAGAGTTTAACCCAACCAAATGTAATATAATGAAGATAGGTGTAGGGAGCAGGAGGCCAAATACAAGGAATCATCTGGGAGAGGAAATTCTTCAGGAGTCAGAGAAAGAAAAAGACTTGGGAGTTGATATCACGCCAGACCTGTCTCCTGCAGCACATATCAAGAGGATAACATCAGGGCATATGCCAGGCTGGCCAACATACGAACGGCATTCAGGAATTTGTGTAAAGAATCATTCAGAACTTTGTATACCACATATGTCAGGCCAAACCTGGAGTATGCAGCCCCAGCATGGAGTCCATATCTAGTCAAGGATAAGACTAAACTGGAAAAGGTTCAAAGATTTGCCACCAGACTAGTACCCGAGCTGAGAGGTATGAGCTACGAGGAGAGACTACGGGAATTAAACCTCACTTCGCTGGAAGACAGAAGAGTTAGGGGGGACATGATCACCACATTCAAGATTCTGAAGGGAATTGATAGGGTAGATAAAGACAGGCTATTTAACACAAGGGGCACACACACAAGGGGGGACAGGTGGAAATCGAACGCCCAAATGAGCCACAGAGATATTAGAAGGAACTTTTTTAGTGTCAGAGTGGTTGACAAATGGAATGCATTAGGAAGTGATGTGGTGGAGGCTGACTCCATACACAGTTTCAAGTGTAGATATGATAGAGCCCAATAGGCTCGGGAATCTGTACACCTGTTGATTGACGGTTGAGAGGCGGGACCAAAGAGCCAGAGCTCAACCCCCACAAGCACAACTAGGTGAGTACACACACACACACACACCCACCCAACCACCCACCCTCCCCCAGGAAGCAGCCTGTAACAGCTGTCTAACTCCCAGGTACCTATTTACTGCTAGGTAACAGGGGCATCAGGGTGAAAGAAACTGCCCATTTGTCTCTGCTGGTGTCGGAAATCGAACCCAGGCCACAGGATTACGAGTCCTGCGCACTGTCCACTTTGCTACCCAACCCCCCAGTGTCTGGGGGGGGGGTCTGTGGCTGGGTGTGTGTGTGATACACTCCTAATACCCAGTGGCCTCAAGTCCTAAATGATCCACAAAAAACATGATTTGCATAAGAACATGCCGTGTTTACTCTGTTGGTAGGGTGGGGCCTTCGGCTGGAGATAGGACTGTGGGGGAGGCATTTACTCGTGAGGCCAATTACAAAATGGCTGACCACCAATTCAGTGCACATTTATTTATTCATTTAATTACAGTAACTACAATTTAATTACAGTATACCACTTCACTCTTCACTCTTCAAATAACAGAACTTGACAAGCAGGATAACTGCATCATTCAATGTAAATAATGTTGTGTTTTTTATATATATTGTCCCCAAAAGAATCGTTTTGTGAGGATTTTTGGTGGCTTGGGAATGCATCTCCCATTTATAGCATGTGCCTATGGAAAATATTGATCTGCGTGCAAGCGATGAGTCACAATAACATGGCTGAAGTATGTTGACCAGACCACACACTAGAAATTGAAGGGACGACGATCGACTTGAGAATGGTCCAGGACGGACCGAAACGTCGTCGTCCCTTCAATTTCTAGTGTGTGGTCTGGTCAATATTGATCTGCGTTCTTAGCAAATGCTTTACAAACACAGTCTCAGAACATAACTCATTCGTAATTGGGGCTTAATACATATATATATACAGGCGTAATCGCCTGTATATATATGTAATATATATAGTTGTTTTTATTGAGACAGTGATGGTTGAACCTAGCTACTCTCTTGTATTATATTCCTGAGAAGACCAAATTTAGTATATGAATACTAAATTCATGTAATATACTGTAATGCAGTTATGTGTCTTCTTTTCAGGTCATTACCTTCAGTCATAACCAATGGTGTTGGTGCCAATACATTATTGTTGGGAAACCAACTAAATCCAGCATCTGCAGTTGCTCAAAAGATGACGGACACACTTCATGCTGAGCTTGAAGCGCACTCCATATACAAAGATGAGGATAAAATCGTCAGTTCCCTTGTTGGGCCAGTATTACCTGGAAAGAAAGAGGTAGGATAACATTTCTGTTAATGTTAGTGAGATGCTTCACTAACTCTTCAATATTTGTAAAATATATGTATAGAAAGCTCTTTCCTGTGGCAACACCGTGGTAAAAATTCTATGTTATTTCAATAAAAAATAATGTGATTATGGGTAATTATCTCCCCTTCACTGGTCACAAAGCGGGCACGTGATGAGGTCAGACATACTATAGTGTGTAATTATTATTATTTTTTAAATTTGATCTATGCATCAAAAGATAATAATTTGGTGGTAAATGACATTTGTTCACAGCAACGAGCTTAGGAGGCCCAACACGTCATTGTTCAATGAGACTTAGGGAGAAGGATGATAGCTGCGGCTCTGATAATGTTACGGCCTAATTTGCATGCTATCTGTGTCAGAGGCATATATTTATGTTAAATGTGCATGTTCTCCCCCCCCCCCCCCCTTATCTCGAAACATATTTTTAGCGCACAAAGCCCTGCTTGATGGGTTCAGTATTTAACTGATTCTCTTGAATATTAGATATTATCACTATCGCGCCACAGACTTTGATGTCATGGGCCTGATGGTGTGGTCGAGCGTGCGGCGACACCTAAATGTGTGTACTCGTTTTAGTTTTCTCGCTTTAATTCTCATTCTACGTCGTTCATTTGGTATCATTGTGTTTGCAATAGAATTGCCTACAGATGTATGTGCAAATAATGTCCAAAAGCCCGGCGTGACTTCCCACAGCAAAGCCTAAAGTAGGCAAAAGTTACCCGTGACCGCACAAAATCAGTAAAATGTGTATACTCGTTTCAGTTTTCTCACCTTAATTCTCGAGTTACATTGTTGTGATCTTGTAATGATCATGTATATATGTAAACATACAGTATGTATTTGTTTATTGAGTGTAGTTATGTAATTATTTCAGCCTTTCCTCCTAAAATGCTAGTGCTGTTGCACTAGCACCTATTTGTATAACATATGAAAATGAATTGTTTTGCTTAAAAAAAAAGTTCATATTTCATACTACAGTATTGTACTTCTCCAAGTAGCATGCTAAAAAGTGTATTAGTGACTATATAACCTAACCAGTCCTAGGCCTATTATACACCATATTAGGTGTAATTTAGTTCATGTTTGGCCTATACTAGGCTTAGGAAAGTTTAGGTTTTGTTGTTGCCTTTTTGTTCCCTCTTCAAAATTTATATTAGAGCTTGTTTTTTTGTTGCAATGGTCCATTTTTGTACAGTCCACCAATTGTTGACATAAATACTATCATTATTGGGTGACAGGTTGGACTCTTTAATTATGTGCATATAAAATCAAATGTAAGGGCTCTAATCAAAAAACAAAACTTCCCCACACAGAATACAGGTGGAAATAATAGTAATGGGAGTAATCAGCCGCCACCATTCCCGCAAAGTCTAGAACAGCTGCTGGAGCGTCAGTGGGAGCAAGGAAGCCAATTTCTTATGGAGCAGGCACAGCATTTTGACAGTAAGTGCTAAGAAATATATACGTAATGAATTTAATTATGTCTTAATTTTATTTTTCCATTTTTTGTTTGTTTTTGTTTTAGTTTGAAATTAACAACTCTAGTCTGAGATGAGACTGGGTGGATATTCTAATGGAAAGAGTCACCGTTAAAATGGTTAATAGTGTGTATGTTTGGTATTTTAAAAGGCTACCTTAATGTTTAGGAGTTAGTATGAAAGAAGAAATATGTTTAACATATTAATTGATTTTATTATAATCACATACATCACTTTCATTGGTAACTTTCCTTGTAATCTTATATTAATTGTAATCACGTCTTTACAGTTGCATCATTGCTGTCCTGCTTACATCAGCTGCGTCAGGAAAATGTCCGTCTGGAAGAAACTGTGAGCTCCCTCATATCGCGTAGGGACCACCTTTTGGCTGTTAATGCCCGGCTTTCAGTGCCACTCAGTTCCCCAACTCCAGCGAATGCTGTATCATCCCCAGGTGGTCCTAATCCTCCTCCTCCGCCCTCCATTTCTTCTTCACTATCATCGTCGTCGTCTTCATCTGCACCTGCTCACACAACCTCGGTACCCACCCATGCTGTAAACCCAAGACCTTCCAGTCGAGGGTCAGCTCCTGCTCCCCCACCACCTCGACCTCATTCTCAGGGACATCATCCTGCAGGTTTGAAAATAAATTTTACGTTTAAGTTTATTTGGAAAATGTTTGCAGACGGAAAATGAGTATGTACGAACAGTTTGCATATCATGTCTAACACTGCAAAAGAAGCCTTTCTAATTTGTTTTCACGTTTGTTTCTTAGCATTGACCTCTTGCTCTTGAGGTTGTCAGTTTCAGGAATTCCTTTGTCAATTTGGTCTATTCCGGTTATTATTTTGTAAGTGGTGATCATATTGCCTTTCTTTTTCTTCCATCTCATAGTTTTTTGCATATATAATGCCTCTAGTCTCTCTTCATAACTTTGTTTTTCAGTTCTGGAAGCCATTTTGTAGCATGCCTTTGCCCCTTTTCCAGTTTATTGATATGTTAGTTCTTTAAGACCTTTCCACATACAGTAATTTATAAGCTGTGTGTGGTCTACTTTCTCCCATTCCAAATTCCATAACATGGCATTTATTCACATTGAATTCCATTTGCCATAAGGTGCTCCAAGCGCGTATTTTATAGGTCAATTTGAAGGGCATTACAATTGTCTAAGTTTTCTATTTTCCCTAGTTCCCTAGTCCATAGCATCATCAGCAAACATGTTTATATAATTCTGTATTCTTTCTGGTAGATCATTTATGTAGACGATGAACATTACTGTCACAAAAACTGAACCCTGTGGTACTCTGCTAGTAACACTCCTCCAGTCAGATTCATTGCCTCTACTTACCACCCTCACCTTTCTGTCAGAAATTTTTTCATCCATATCACCCTTCCAGCATGTTCCAGTTTCCAAAACAACCTCTTATGTGGGACTTTGCCAAAAGTCTTTCTTAGGTCCAGAGATACACAGTCAACACAATAATCTCTTTCCTGTAGAATCTCTGTGGCTATATCATAAAAACTAAGGAGATTTGTTACACAGGATCTTCCTGTTAGAAGGAACAGGAAGCTCCTGTCTGTTATTACTCTCCAGGTGTTCAATCCATTTGGCTTTAACCTTTTTCTAGTATTTTTACTACCACGCTTGTTAATGATATGGGTCTATAATTTAGAGGGTCTTCTCTGCTACCATTTGTATACATGGAACTATGTTTGCCTTTTTCCATATATCTGCTAAGATTCCTGTGCACAAGGATGTCTGGAATATGAATTGGAGTGCAATGCTCAGGTCAGATGTGCACATCTCAGTACCCAAGGTGAAACTCCATCTGTTCCATCTGGTTTATTTCTTCATAGCCCTTTGAGTAATTTTTCATTTTTATCTTGAGACACCTCTGTATTGTTCTCTGGCATTGGCATTGTGTCTGGGTCTCAGAAGATCTCATTTTGCACCAACACACTTTAGAGCTTTTCATTTAGTGCTTCGCACATTTCTATTTCATTCTTTGTGAATCTGTTCCCCTATTCTCACTCTCTGGATTTTATCTTTTACATGCAACTTGCTTTTAATTGATTTAAAGAAAGGGCCTGGATATGTTTTACATTTGTCTGCTACCCCCCTTACTCAAAGTTCCTTTCTGCCTCTCTTCTCACTGCTGTGTATTTGTTTCTTGCTTGCTTGTATGAGTGTGCGTGTTTTTTAGCAAATGATTGATTCATATCACTGTAGAAAGAAGAACAAATTACTTGAATACTATTTATTTATTTTTTTTAAAGTAAATCGTAATTTATTTGTAGAGCACTCGACTGTAGAGAGTGCAATATGTAAAGAAGTTTATACTCATTTTCGGTTTCCAAAACTGTACTCAGGCTTATAGCATTGATGTTATCAAAATATTAGGAAATGGGTGAGCTTACATACATTGCAAACTCTTTAATCTGGACTAATGCATGCTAGAGGATGTCTGCATTGCCAAAATTCAGTTAAAGAGAGGGAGGTTAGAGGAGTTGGTGGTGTGAGAGCTTTAGGGATCTCTCTGCACTAATGTTGCTTTTAAATGTGTATTTCTTCCTGTTTTTCTGGGGGAAAGCCCCGTCGGCTCCCCGGAGCTATCCAGGCTGAATGGATATGTATATCTTTCTGGCATCATTCAATGCATGGAGTTCTTGCCTACCGGGGACCACAAGCCAGAACCTGGCCCCCTCTAGAGAGGCACGAGGAGCAATGGCCTGTAGAGACCCCCCCTGTGGTTGGGAGGATTCTATGTCTGAAATTGACCTGGACAGGCACCCTAAAAAGTACACAGAACTCCCCAAAGAAAAATTAGCAAACTAGAATGACGTCATCATGTCGCCGCGCCGCTGTCTGCGCAATTTCCCCCCCCCCCCTTCCCGGGAGGGGGAAGGGGGGAGCCCCAGACCCATCCGCCGGCGACCCAACCTACAGTTCTTGGCTGATGGAAGTCTGCAGTCGGGCCTCTCGCTCCAGTTTTTGTTTCAGTTCTGTGCCTTGTGGTGTGGGCTGTCTCTACAGGTGGTGCGTGAGTCAGGAGATGTATTCCACGGTACTCGGGCTGCATGCACCTAGGGTTCTCTTCCCTAAGTGCCCTGTAAGTACTACCCTTGGGGCTTGGAGCCTCCTTCCACAAGTCACCTCAGGATCTACCTCCGCTGTGCCATTTACTGCTTGGTACTTGGCCACCCTTGGGGTCAGCTGGGGTTTTTCTTACCCTTGTTTGTCTTTGGGTAGGGGTAGTTTTTGTCACTGGTAGGGATGCAGGGTACTGCACAGCTAGTTTTCACCTATGACAGCGGCCGGCTCTGTTCCGCCTGGGTACGTTGTCCTCTTGCAGAGTTTTTCTTTTGTTTTTCTTTCCTGCTTGGTGGGGGGGTGTCTGCCTTTGTGGTCCCCCCATTGCTGTTCTTGGGGTATATATATTTATATGTCTATATTTCTGTGTTTGGTGGACCTCCCCGCTTCGCCCCTGCGAGTGGACATGTCTTGGGGGTTCAGTTTAACAATTTGCCACTTGCCCTAGCCACTGATAATGATGTGCGGGTGCAGGCAGCTGCGGCGTTGCATGCTAGGTTTAGGTTGCTGCAACGCTCTAGGTTGGTTGCAGCCCCGGATGCCCTGAGACTGCTCCGTTTTGGTTAAGGGGTCCGGACTTGGGGGTGGGAGTCGCTTCGGCTCTGGTTCCGTCTGCTCCTCCTCATCCTTCCCCTTCTGTTGTGCATACTTCCTTCCCCTTGCTTCCGGTTCTGAACCGTAGGCGGGTTTCAGGACTGGGTCTGGTTGGGTTGAGAGACTGGTGGTCTTGGGGGTTTTCCTCGTCTGGAGTTGTGGCGGAGGCATTTGAGCCTGTTCCTCCAGTTGTGCCTTATGGGTCTGACCAGCGGGCTTCCTTCTTTAGTGTTTTGTACGGTTGCCCCGGCTTTTACTTGCGGGGCTGGGGCTTTGGGGGAACGACTCGGCCCAGGGTCCTGCCGTAGGGGTTCTCGGGGTTGGGGAGGGGTGCCTGGGGGGCCTAGGCCCTTTTCGCCCCGCTTGGGGTTTTGTACCCTCAGAGCAGGGCTTGCAGTTCCTCAGAATGGAGTTTTCCCTTTCCTCTCTGCGTTCTCGTTGATCTCGGGTCTACCCCTCCCTGGGTTTGATTCCATCCTTCCTGGGGGTGCTTTTCACCGCCTTTCCTCATCTTTTTAGCGCTTATGTCGCATTGCTAATTCCCTTCGTTTCGGGATCCTTGCACGTCCCAGGGTCTGGGGTGTCTTTGGGCCCGTGTGTACCTCCTTGCACTTGTTTGTCACGGTTTTCATTGGTTCGTGTACCTCTTCTGTACTTCCAATGTTCATGGAAAGTCTGTTGACTTCCAGTAAGGTTTCCCTCCAGTCCTTTTATATTCACATCGTCTCTCCTTCCTGTTTCGATATTCCTCATATTCGTTACCTTGCCTTGTACGTATGTACGTACACCTTGCTGGTGTATGTATGATATGTGTACATATGGCTGGTGTACGAGCCATACCGCCCGGAAGACGGGTAGTGCGGTTCGTACCTCGAACGCTGGAGCCGGGGTGATCGTTTTGTTCTGGGCAGTGTACACTTGTGCTGATGTTCCGCGTTCTTTCTCGCGGATTCTACACCGTTTTCGCTCCTCTTCTTTCCGGTCATAACCCCCTGGATACTTGATGTTTTGAAGCGAGTGTGGGGGGCAGCTCTGAGTGGCCCCTCCTCCACCTCTGTACTGCATGCACCTCGTCTTCTTCTACTTGGCACGCACCTCTGGACGTTCTCCAGTAGGGATGCTCCTGTTACATTGCACGGCTCAGCTGTGTCGTGACATGGTGGTGTCCGTTTCGCAGGTGAGATTGTACTGTATGGCGAATCTGTTGGCTGGGTGCTGGTTCTCGCTGTTTGGTGAGGTACTCACCTCATTGTACTTGCCTAGTTGTGTTTGCGGGGGTTGAGCTCTGGCTCTTTGGTCCCGCCTCTCAACTGTCAATCATCAGGTGTACAGCTTCCTGAGCCTACTGTGTTCTATCTTCTCTACATTTGCAACTGTATGTTGTCTGCTTCCTCCACATCACTTCCTAGTGCATTCCACTGACTTACTACTGACACTGAAACAGTTCTTTCTATGTGTCTGTGGCTCATTTGGGTGCTCAGCTTCTGCCTGTGTCCCCTTGTGAATGTACTACCCGTGTTAAATGGTCCTTCCTTGTCTACCCCTGTAAATTCCCCACTTGACAGGGTTGCATCATTGGCTCCTAACAGGGGTGTTAGGTGTTGTGTATGTTGCTTGGACATTTTACGTGTGTCTTACAGTGACTACTTTGTCTGTGTATCTTGTTCTTCTTGTACTGGGTGGCGCTGTCCTGCATTTCGGTGTTTTTTGTTTCTTTTTCGGCGCCTGAGTCCTTTCTCGATCTGTGGACACTCCTTCATTTGCCCGATCTGTGTTTGTGTCCTCCTTCCTTGACTTGGTCTCTGGTCTCTGGACACTCCAGACAGATGCATTCTGATGCAGGCTTTGGCAATGGTGAACCCTTCCATAATTGACAAATATCAGCAACATCCTTAACAACACACAACAGGCTTAGTCAACACCTGAAAGATGTGCTGTCTTGCAAGTATAGGAGGAGAAACTGTCACAGACTATACAGATACTAAATCAGACATATCCAAAAAAATAATACAACTGCTTCCCCAGAGCCAAGTTATAACTGTGGCTGGTAGCAGTAGAGGAACTGACACCAGCAGGGACAACAGTTGTAAGGGAGTCTCATGAGATAGCATCCTAAGTCAGTAATGATTTTTAGCTTTAGAACAACATCTCGATGACTAATATGTTTCATGTTAATACTTGATCATAGGTTAAGGGCACTAAATATATCATTTAAGAAGAAAACAATGTTAGAAAGTGCATAGCATTTAGAACCATCAAGCACTATACAGTACTGTTGAACAGAATTAAGTAAAATTCCATACTATAACACAATCGACTTGAGAATGGTCCAGGACGGACCGAAACGTCGTCGTCCCTTCAACTTCTAGTGTGTGGTCTGGTCAACCTACTATAACACTACTTGCTAAATCGGTACTATTAGATATACAAGTTGACATTCTGCATTAAATTTTAATCTGTCTTTTTCTCCAATCATCACACTTCATCTTGCCTTTTTTTATTTTTCTAAATACTGTAGTTAATGCTTTATATCTTCTCATATTTTATAACCCTCTTACAGAAAAATTCCATATTCAGTAAAACCTGCTCTTGACTTGTTTTTCTACAGTAATACCTGTATTTTGTAATTGTTATCAATTTATTTTTATATTATTTATTTATTTGATTCTTTGTATCAGGAATGTATTTTGTCACATCTAAACTACTTGCTTGTACTGTAGCTAGGTACTGTATATAAATTATTAATAGAAATTGACCTTTAATTATACTGTATCATTGCCATGTTTCTAATTGTACATAGATTGTGCATGTGATCATGTTTTTAAATCAGCTGGCAGCAGTCATGTGACGGGTCCTACCCCTGTTGGAGCTGGAGGAGCTGGCCATAGAGGAGGAGGTGCATCACCACACGACAGAAGAGGGCCCTCTCCGCAGGACAGAAGAGGTACATCTCCTCACGACAGACGGGCTCCACCTCCCCCAATTCCTATTGAAAATGGTTTAGGTGAACCCGAGTATCGCTACAGAAGTCCTGGAACAGAGCACAGGCAACAATCGCCAATGTTGCCACCAGGAGCACAACCCAGCCCCACATCACTAAGGTAGATTAGAAACAATTCAATTATTTAGCTTCCTTGGTATCTTATGGCATGTTTAAAGTCTTAGATATTTACACATCAAATTACTAAGTAAACATTTTGTTTTAAGTAGCTCCAAAGTAATGTTTACACTGTTTGGAAGCTGTGGGTTTCATAGCTTTTGTTAGCCTTACAAGTGCTTGCCTATCAGTGACTATTTAGAATGTGATTTAGCTCAAAATGTCCCACTTTGCTTTTTTGAACCAAAAGCATTTTTTAAATCATCTGATGTTTTAAATTTCCTGGCCTATTGTGAGAAGAAACAGGTGGGGGGTGATTTTTCTTCTGGTAAATCATTTAACTACACTCACATTGCAGTTCTGCCTGTTGGTCTGAAACATTTTCAGAATTTTCACTTTGTCTTTATATGACAGCTTTTTTCTTTTTTTGTTTATATTTTTCATGTTGCTTCATCTCTCTAAATAATTCTTCTTAACCCTTCCAAATATTCTTGTTTCGTGAAGCATATATTGTAAGCAATAAATATGCAATGCTGATAAGTAAGCAATGCAACTTATCAGCATTCCCACATTACCAAGAAAATTATAATAAAATATATGAAAACTCCCATGAAAACTCTTGGAATTTTTTAGAATAACGTGATAGAAAAGTCATGAATTTGACAATTGGGAAGTCCAGATCAGTTTAGGGAGTATGTGCATGTAAATTTAAAAGAGCTCAGGTACACCCAGAAAATCACACTAATGTGATATATATATCAATGAGAAAATCCACATGGGTTCTGTGGTGACAGAAGCCTGCGACCAAGACATTGCCAGCTGCATCCACCGTACCACCGCTGACTTTCTAAATATCATACAACTGGATTTCTACTGAAATCACAGGAAATCTGGAGGCCCCTCCTGAAGCAAGTCCAAGTTTTATGTATTTACAGTTTAATAATAATAATATTTGTTAAACATTAAACATTGGCTTCAAACACATTGTATTATTGTGTGTGCGTGAACATGCATGCATAGTTCACGTGCTTGCCTCTAACCCAGGCGATTGTTATTGATTGGCTGGAAAAGTACTGTATTGGCAATTATAGTACATCAATTTTTACTACATAAACCTATGCAGGCTGAATTAATACAAAAAAAGGCAAAACACAGTATGTATAAAATATTAAGTTATAAATAAAAAAGTATACTACTGTATTAATCAGGACATGCCTGGAGGCTCATTCAAGGCAACTGACTTGATCAAATCACCAGACACCCCAGGTCCCTACCATAATGTCATAAGTGACACCAACACAATGTAGAACCTTTGACACAGCACTGCACTTTTAACATCAGCAACTCATCACAACAGTGCACCTTTGACCTGATTAAGTATATCTTCGTACCACCAACACCTGGTCACTCTTCACTCTCTCCTCTCAGATACAGGGGGTAAGTTGGAATAAAATAATTAAAAGAAAGAAATGTCAAAGGCATTGACATTTATTGTCAATGTACAGTACAGTATTCACCTAGTTGTTCTTGCGGGGGGTTGAGCTCTGCTCTTTCGGCCCGCCTCTCAACTGTCAATCAATTAACTGTAACTACTAACTAATTCCCCCCCCCCCCCACACACACCCAGGAAGCAGCTCCATAAAAGCTGTCTAATTCCCAGGTACCTATTTACTGGGCATCAGGGTGAAAGAAACTTTGCCCAGTTGTTTCTTCCTGATCCGGGAATCAAACCCGGGCCAAAGAATTAAGAGTCCTGCGTGCTGTCCGCTCAGCTACCAGACCCTGTAATGTGTCAAATGTTCTATGCGTGAACCTGTTTGATTCCGTGATGGGTCTTAAATGAGTTTAACCACCCAGTATCCAGTAGAATACAAACATGTTTACCTGATGACCAACAGACTACTTTATCATAAGGTAGTTTTTTGGTTCTCCTGCAATGATGGGTTGTACGTGTAGGTTATGAAGAAGTTTTTTGAGGAGAGATGCTGAGGTACCAGGTTCACTGGAACCAGATGAAGAATGTGCTATTCCTGAACCTGAGACAAATTGACGTTTTCATTTGTGAACTAGAGTACCTCGGGATAAAATTCGGCCGTTATTCCAGTCTAATCGGCGTTATAAATTTCTGGAGATGATTGTTCTCTGAAGATTTTTAGAAACTTGTCTCTATGTGCAAGTGCATTAGTGCTGTTGACAAACTGCCTCTCACCTGAGACTTGCACCTTTTTGATTCCTTGTTGGGTCTTAATGAGTTTAATCACCAAGTAACCAGTAGAATACAAGCATGTTTACCAGATGACCAACAAATAACCCAGTTGGTCTTCTGGTCAGCTGGGCTGTTGGATGTGGCTACTTGCAGCCTGGCGTATGAATCACAGCCTGGTTGATCAGGTATTCTTTGGAGGTGTTTGTCGTTTGGGTAAATAAAACAAACCTATTGGAGGTATACAAAACTAAATTCTCCTATACCTATAGGAGAAGAATTATTTAATTTACTTGTAATGCCAGTTACTTCTTAATTTAAGTAATTAACTGAGGAGCTGCAGTTTTATCCAATACTATCATAAAATTTTTAGTTTGATTGCACTGCATAATATTACAGATCACTTTCAAATGTTATTGAACATATTTGTACTCATTTCAAGGCAGGGATATGTATAGGTACCTCCTCTTTGTCCAAAAATTATATAGTTAAATTCAATTTCAAATTTATTCAGGAAAAGTACATACATAGATGATTTACAAACATAATGTTGGATTTATAGATAGAGCTAGTACATACAATATCTAAAGTCACTAATATGCATAGCGTTTCGGGCAAGATTGACGCGCACACGTATGCAAATCTAAGTGAAGAGTGAACAGATTAAGAATGAATCTTTTTACATATTTAGAAGCAAATCAATATGTTTACAGTGTGAAAAAGTGCACAGTAATAAAATATGGGAAATGACCATACAAAACTCTCAGTAATTCTTATTTTTTTTAATAAAGAGTAGATTTTTCAGATTTTAGAAATTCATATTGCTTCATAAAACTAGTTACAATTTTGTGATAATTCCAGTAAAACCAAAATAAACTAACAACCAGCCTGCATTATTATGTAGTGGACAGGTTAAACTGAGGAGACAGGTATACCGGTAGCTGTATGCTGTATATACCACTTTCACTTGAGTGGCTGGGGACTAATAATTATATTGCTTTACTTATGTGATTGCCATTAATCTTTGAATATTTAATACTGCTACTGATATTACAGACACAGTCCAGCTAGCAGCAACTACCATCCAAGTGTATCACCTCATGGAGTGGGTTCTCCCAGTCCGTCGGGTGTACCTCACGGTCACCAGCCAACCTCCCATGGCCCTCCTCCTCCTCCTCCTCCAACTCATGCACCCCCTCCTCACTCTATGGCTTCCACTCATGGATCATCAAGCCATGCACCTCCTGGACAAGGCCCTCCTCATGGCCCTGTAAGTCATGGGTCACCACATGGACCACCCCCACATGGGCCACCACCGCCAATGGTGTCTGTAGCCCACAGCTCGACTCATAGTGTGGCTATTAGTAGACCATCTGATCACCGTGGAGAACTGGTGAGACTACACACGGGACCACCGCCACCGCCTCCGCCTCAACATCCAGGCCCTAACATTGGCCCTGGAGGGTATTCGGTATATCAGATGGTCTCTCCACCAGTACCTGGGCCACATCACTCTCCTGTGCCACCCATGAATCAGCCCCACCCACCACCACCACCACATGCTCAAGTAAGAGAGAACCAATAGCAGGGCCCCTTAATTATTAGTTCTTTGGGAGAATGTCATGTATTTATAAATTCTCAGTGGTTTGTTTATAAGTTTCAAAATTTTAGCTATTGCATTATTATACTTATTTTAAACTTATTTACTTTTAAACTTTTACTTATTTATTAAAGCTTATTTTAAGCTTTATTTTGCATTTGCAATTTATATATATATATATATATATATATATATATATATATATATATATATATATATATATATATATATATATATTGTGACGATAATCTCCTTCAAGAGATTGAGCCTGCTCTTCCCTCCAAAATTACGTCTTCACAATTATATAAAAAGACTATGGAAGAAATGTCCAACAACGACAACAACACCAGCACCAGCAAGGCTTGCCAGGGTGAGCAGAAACGTATGCAACCAGCCACCTGTTCGAACTCCAACCACCAAACTACCCGTTGATCGCTACGACTCCGCTGATTGGTCGCCGGTCTGGCTGCACCTGCACTCGCCCCCCCATACTACCTGATGTCTGGGGTCGCCCCAACATCAGTCCTCAGAATGTTCCGTGCTTTCGTAGCCAGCACTCCTCCCAGCTAGACGTTAGCGTGTACTGAGAGAGGTGGTGGCTTTAAGCCAATATTCCAGCACCTCCCACTTAACTTTTGTGTTGCACTTCTTGTTATTTTGCCTTAACGTAACTTTTCATTGTGTCATTTAAGTATTCTTATTATTTTCATTGATTTTATTATAAGAATTTGTTTGTGCATTATTTTCATGTTTGATTTATTTAACGTAATTAAAATTTCATTGTTAAAGTTTACTTGTGTTTTGTGTGTCTTCTCCTTACCTTACCACAGACGAAGTTCCAGTTTTTCTATTTTTTTTAATAACTATGTGACGAGGCCATACCCCTAGCCTTAAACAGCCGAACACCAACGCGTTACCGTCACAAGTTATATGGGGGCCTGTCCTAGGAGCTTCACTCAGATACTGGTGCCAAGTGGTAATTTATGGTAAGCGTATTTAACTTTGTTAACGTAGCTTTACTATTTTTCATTCAATTTCATTTTTTATAAGGTGCGGTGTATTGTGCATTACGAGAGTAACATATAGTGAAGGTGAGACAACTTTGGATTACGTGGTGACTGTAGGCCGCAGTCATACTCTTAATTGGTCATCTCTCCCTCCTTGTTATTACTCGTATTTACCATCTATGTCCCTTGAATATTTCTCATTCTGACAGATCATCATATTGGTACCCTGGTACTGTGGTCTGCCCCGGGTCAAGAGTACCCAATCTTCTGCAATCTGACTGTAGGAGGACAAAGAGGGCCATAGTTCCTCTAGCTCGAACTTTAGTTGCTGAATTGGGACCTCAGCAGCAGTTCTCGTCACCAGTTGACACCTCGCACCCCTACACGTCAGTCAGAGATGATGATACATACAACGGTAGGGAATTAGCTTATTTTTTCAGAGCACAAAAGTTCGCTAATTCTGTAAGTATCATATTAAATTCAGTGGGAAAAACTTGCTTTATGTCCTATAGAGACTTGGCAAGGTATGCCTACATCCTTGGACTACCAATTTTACTTTTGAAGCATTTAACTGTTTCATTTGTTTTCGAAACTTTGTTTCATTTGTTAGTAGGATTTTCTTGCCCTTATCCTCTTACATGAGTACCGGGTACAAGATTTCCTGCGCCCTTGATTTAATTTAATCATTTAATATCTTTCACTTAACGTTAATTGTTAAAGATCACACAGGATAGGTGCCAGTTGCCACGTTGTCCTGTTTCTGACATTTCATTATTGAACATTCGTGTACCTTTATTTGCTAATTTCACCATGTTTCGTCTCCAAACTTTCCGTGCAAATCCAGCAGGTGAAATAGGGACTTTGAGTCGTGCCAAGAGGACTGAACTACAAACTCTTGCACATGAGTATCAACTAGAAGTTCCCTACCAAGCCAACAAAAATGACCTACACAACCTGTTGCTGGATTACTATTTAGAGCAAGGTAAGATAGACTCTGAAACTCATGAAACTTACTATATTGCAGAGAAAACTGACTTGGCAACGATGAAACTTAAACTAGAGCTGGCCAAGATTGAACGTGAGCAGCAAAGAGAAGCAGCTGCCATACGAAGGGAAGAACAAGAACGAGAAATCACCCTCAGAGAACGTGAAGCTGCCTTGAGGAGAGAAGAACACGAACGTGGACTCGCCCTCCACGAACGTGAGGTCGCCTTGCTCCATGAACGTGAGAGAGTACAGCTTGAAACACTCCAGGAGCGGGAACGCTTACAGCTTGAAACCAAACAACGCGAGTTGGAAATACAACGCGAACATGACAAGCAACAAGCGACTCTGGCTCTTGAGTGTCGTCAACGGGAATACACGTTGGAAACTTCACACCTCGCTCAACGCCAGCAAGCTACTGCCAATCTTCCCGTCAGTTTTAATATATCACATGCAAGTAAGTTAATGCCATCCTTTGTAGAAGCAGAAGTTGATGTGTTCTTTACCACCTTTGAAACCCTTGCTAATCAACTCAGTTGGCCTGTCGACCAATGGGCAACACTTCTCAGAGTCCATCTTACAGGTAGAGCTGCAGTCACACTCAGTACTTTGGTGTCTGAGAATGACTACTACACTCTGAAACAAGCAGTGTTAGACGCCTACCTCCTCTCTACTGAAAGTTATAGAAGGAAATTCCGTGACCACCTGAAGGCAAGTACCACTACCTTCCTCGAGTTTGCTAACACGAAACGGAGGTATTTCATGAAATGGCTGGAAGCAGCACATGTCTCTACTTTTACAGAACTCGTCAACCTGATGCTTGTTGAAGAATTCTTGAGACGTGTGCCGCCTCCTGTCCGCCTCTACTTAGCAGATAAAGAAGAAACCGACTACCTGAAGTGTGCTAAGTCGGCTGACACTTACAGCCTCATCCACCGGCTGACACCTGAACCATCCTCCAGTAAGAAGTCGTGGTACAGTTACGAGAAGGTGAGCCCCGATCAAGCTGGTTCACAACTGTACTGCAAGTATTGTAGACTCTATGGACATACCATAGACAAGTGTGGTAAGTCTCAATACAAGGGAACCACTGACCAACAACGACCCAAACCAACTCCTCCTAAGTCCGGTAAGCCTGTGATGAATGTTGGTGTTGATGTTAATGATCTTTCTCTTTTCAGTAACCACCTGTATACTGGAACTGTCTCTGCCAACGGTTCAAATCCGGAGGGACGTTTCAAATTGAAGATCTTGAGGGACACAGCGGCTCTACAATCGATCATCTTGAAGTCGGCTGTGCCCAACATAGTCTACACCGGGGAAACAGTCTTCATCACTGACCTCACTGCTACCACTCCATACCCTCTCGCCAGAGTCCACCTGGATTGTCCCTACGTGAACGGGGAAGTCCAAGTCGCCGTCAGGGAAAAGCCTTTTCCCATGCCTGGAGTGCAACTTCTCCTAGGCAACGACTTGGCAGAAGACCTGCAACCAACCAACCTGATCGTCATGGACAAACCCCAGGTGTGTAACTCTGTGCCAAGTAACCCTATTCTTGAGTATGTTCCAGCAGAGGTTCAAGAGAGTGATGAAGTTTCTCCTCCGGTTCTCGTGACCACCCGTGCACAAGCCGCACGTCCACAGCCAGCTGACTCTACTGCTACCGCTGTCCCTCAAGACCCTCAGAAACTACCCCCGCATCTGACCAAGTTGGAGTTCCGTAAGTTGCAGAGGGAAGATCTTACTTTAACACCATTGTTTTTCCAGGCTGAGACTCAACCCGACAGTATTCCTGGGTTCTTCCTAGAGAACGACTTGCTCTACCGCAGATATAGACCCAGTAAACTGAAGGAGGAGGACGATTGGGCCAACACCGAACAACTTGTGATTCCCACCAGCCTGCGGCCCACTATTCTACACCTGGCCCACGGAGCATTCTCCCACTACGGCTTCAACAAGACTTACCATGGGATTCGTCAAGACTACTACTGGCCAGGTATGGTAAACAACGTCAAACAGTACGTAAAACAGTGTCATACATGTCAGATGGCAGGCAAACCGAACGTCTCCATTCCCAGAGCACCACTGATTCCCATACAGGTGCCTGCGGAACCTTTCCACAGACTCATAATAGACTGTGTTGGTCCTTTACCTCGGACCAGTTCAGGTAACGCCTACATCCTAACCATCCTGTGTCCTACCACCAGATTTCCCATAGCAGTTCCAGTGAAGAACATCACGGCTGCTACGGTTATCAAACATCTATTGAAGATCTTCACTCAATACGGATTTCCCAGGGAGATTCAAAGTGACTGTGGCACCAACTTCACCAGTGATCTCTTCAAAAGGACACTGGAGGAGTTCAACATCAAACAGGTATTGTCCAGCCCCTATCATCCTGCTTCACAGGGTTCTCTTGAACGTAGTCATCAGACCATCAAAGCACTCTTGAAAAAGTTTTGTAGTGAAACCTCAAAGGATTGGGATAAGCAGATTGACCTAATAATGTGTATTTTCAGAAGTCTCCCCAATGAGTCCCTAGGAGTATCTCCTTATGAGATGCTCTACGGCCGTAAGTGCCGTACTCCCCTTAAGGCTTTCAAAGACTCTCTCAGAGATGCCACCTTCAGTGAGCATCAGAATGTGCCCCAGTTTCTTCAAAACCTTCAGCACATTCTAGAGAGAGTCCACCGCTTTGCCCATGATAATCTATTGAAAGCCCAGGTGAGAATGAAGACTCATTACGACCAGACCAGCAAAGTAAGAAAATTCAAGCCGGGAGACTTCGTCCTTGCTTATTTCCCTATCCCAGGTTCACCTTTACAAAACAGATTTTCAGGACCCTACTGCGTCAAAGAGTGCAGGAATAATAATAATTATGTGATAGAGACTCCAGATAGGCGGCGGAAGACCCAGCTGTGCCACGTCAACCTCCTGAAGCAATATAATGGTACTCCTCCCACTGTCTTGATTAATTGTTCTACCTTCACAGAACCCTACATCCACAGTGAGACCATCCCGGCTTCTTCTCCCGAAAGCACTGACAAGGAGTCGGCGCTTTCTAATTCCAAAATCCTTAATGATCTTCCCAAATGCTTTCAGGATAATAATCGTGCTCCTATGCCCTCTTCTAATTCCACTCTCACCTCGTCAGATAAGCCCTTCATCCTCCATGTCGACGCCAATGGTACCGACGTGGGTGGTGTCGTGATGCAGCAACGAGGCGAGAAGAATACACCTGTCAGCGACTACTGCTACAAGGATCTACGGAACAATTGGCAAGGAGCTACTCTTCCTCATCCTGAAGCTTCAGCACTTCACTCCACACCTGAAAAGTGCTCGGTCCACCATCAATACGGACCACACCACCCTACACCTCCTGCAGCACGCCCACTTCTCATCTCAACGTCTTCTACTATGGGCTTGCTAACTGCAGAAATTCAACCTGGAGACACGCTATACCAAGAGTCTGACAACATCTTAGCCCATGATCTCTCCAGAGTTTATGAAGTAGAAGCGACTCCCTCCATTACTCCACCACATAACGACGTACTTCTTCCAGAACCGCAGGCTTCGGGGGAGAGTTGTGACGATAATCTCCTTCAAGAGATTGAGCCTGCTCTTCCCTCCAAAATTACGTCTTCACAATTATATAAAAAGACTATGGAAGAAATGTCCAACAACGACAACAACACCAGCACCAGCAAGGCTTGCCAGGGTGAGCAGAAACGTATGCAACCAGCCACCTGTTCGAACTCCAACCACCAAACTACCCGTTGATCGCTACGACTCCGCTGATTGGTCGCCGGTCTGGCTGCACCTGCACTCGCCCCCCCATACTACCTGATGTCTGGGGTCGCCCCAACATCAGTCCTCAGAATGTTCCGTGCTTTCGTAGCCAGCACTCCTCCCAGCTAGACGTTAGCGTGTACTGAGAGAGGTGGTGGCTTTAAGCCAATATTCCAGCACCTCCCACTTAACTTTTGTGTTGCACTTCTTGTTATTTTGCCTTAACGTAACTTTTCATTGTGTCATTTAAGTATTCTTATTATTTTCATTGATTTTATTATAAGAATTTGTTTGTGCATTATTTTCATGTTTGATTTATTTAACGTAATTAAAATTTCATTGTTAAAGTTTACTTGTGTTTTGTGTGTCTTCTCCTTACCTTACCACAGACGAAGTTCCAGTTTTTCTATTTTTTTTAATAACTATGTGACGAGGCCATACCCCTAGCCTTAAACAGCCGAACACCAACGCGTTACCGTCACAATATATATATATATATATATATATATATATATATATATATATATGGGAATATATATATATATATATATATATATATATATATATATATATATATATATGGGAATATATATATATATATGGGAATATATATATATATATATATATATATATATATATATATATATATATATATATATATATATATATATATATATATATATATGGGAATATATATATATATATATATATATATATATATATATATATATATATATATATATATATATATATATATATATATATATATATATATATATATATATATATATATAATTTATTTATTTATTTTTTTTACTTTCAATGTTATTCCAAAATATTACATTCAATGTTGTCTTCTGCCTGCAAATTATAATTAGGTGTGGTAAGTAAATTGTAAGCAGAACTCTTTGAGTTGAAAGTTTATAACTCTTGACAATATTTTGGGTTGGAAATATATTGATTTTGAATGAATAACTTGCATTTCCTTTTTATTGGGTCTTTGAGTTAGTTCATTTTATAAATTGTAGGAACTGCAAATATGCAAATATTTGGCATTATTTTAAAATTGATGATGTGTTATTTTTTCAAGCGTATTAAAATGAAGGTGGTAAATTCTAAAAAAATAAAAAAAAGTTTAAATTCATTTAACTTGTTAGTTCTTTCCAATTAGGTGATGCGACGCGACCTGGTTGAATCCGGAAGAGGGGCACCAGGGCCATTGGAGAAGAGATGACACAGAGATTCGTGGGCTAGAACCAGAAGATAACAACAGCTTTAGAGCTTTTGTCACTCCCATGGACATACTGTACAAAGGGAGGCCATTAAATCATACCCAAGTTGTCAGTACTCAACTGGGGGAATATCACCTAGATATTCTGGCTCTGATATTACTTGACTTGTGGTCCTCCTGTGACTGGGAAAGATGTGTTAGTTATGGGTCCACCAAGTGAACCATTGTGACAGCTTCACATCTACAAAGCTAGTTCTGCTTTGTAATTCATAATCAGTGCACCATGACAGTTCAGGAACTTCAAAGGGAATCGTTCAATGACATAATGTGGTCCCTGGTGAAGATATGTGCTGTGTAAATGCACTTAAAAATTGATTGTGGGTGGGCTGCTGCTATAGTGAACCACCAAACTTACCGTATGTCTCTGTGAAGCGTTTCCCAGTGAGACTCGCTAGATTTTACATATAGAAATAAGTTTGATGATTTTAGTTCGTTAACCATGATCTCCAGCAAGTTTCTCAATGATGCCTCAAAACCCAAGCAGTGTGAACTTCAATCTATTTGGTAAAAATGAGGAACACAAGTTGCTTCATTTTCACAGACAAGGCTAATACCAGTCATTGACATTTTTGGAGACTGTCAAAATGCTAGATTGGCATGATTCCTTAGACATTTGACAGCTTCATTGTAGTGAAGAAAAATGGTTCTGGTAAATGGTAAAGTACAAATACCACTCGTAGTCAACTATGATGTGTGTTGTCCATTATGAGGTCCACACTTGTTGGATCTTCATAAGATGTTGCCTCTTGCTATTTAAGATGGTCGGGTAAAAAAAGAAAGTTTAGCCATGTGTGATTTGTTATATGATCATGTAATTGATTGTTTATGGACAACAGTTTGTATAGATGATGTCTCGCCACTTTTTGTCTGGAAAGCTTGTCAGTTCAGAAAATGCTACTATTGTCGGATGTGAGCTTCAGACCAAGTTGAACATTTAGAAATGATCTATGCTGACTCAAGAGGGTAAACTAACAAGAACTTTAAAATATTTCTTAGCTGTTATTTACGTAAAATTTACTCCAGCGCTGCTCTCACGGGCTGTAATGGTGGAAGTGAGACTTCAAAAGTTATGTAAACTAATTTTTTTAGCACATAAATATTTTTATGATAGCCAAGTGTGAAAGTTATATCTTAAACAAATCTGCCGTACTTATTGCTGTGATGTTGAGAGGCCTGAGTTTGTCTTGTGACTGAGCATTATATGGGAGAAATAGTTCCTTGTTTTTCACAAATTATGTGGAGGTTAACACTTTGTAGAAATGGGAAAATTGTAAATATATTTTTAGCTCTTGTTTAGCCTTGTGTTGTTTATGCATCATTTGAGTAAAAAAACAAAAAAAAAAAAAAAAAAGTGACCTGGCACACACACATACCTGAGTACAAGTAGCTTAGGTTGAAAGTGTTTACTTTGACATTTGTTTTAATGTGACTTGGCTTCATCCCCAGTATTCAATAAATGGCCCGGCTCTCCATTTTGTTGTTGAGACAAGGTTCGGTGAACAGTTATAAAGGAACACTTGCCAAAATCTGTGCTACTTTTTTTTTTTCTATGGAAAGATCACAAATAAAATTTTAACCAGCTCCATTCCATAAGTTTTGGGGAGAATGAGTTTGCACCTTTTTGGGGGGAGCAATATTCGTGTTTTTATATTTGTTGGAAATATATGTAGTGTGGTGCTTTTAAGTTATAATTGACTTCTCAGATCTATTTGCGTTATGTTTTAAAGTGGTTGTGTTTATTTTATAGAAATCAAGATAAGCTAGGACTATTGGTTGGGTGATGAATCGAGGATGTGTTTTGTATCATGCATCTTGAATATCTTTTAACTCGCTTATCCTATGTTATTCTCTTGTCTTCTACAGATACTTTCTCATCCCTTGAAAGCTGGAATTAGCCTAAGATAATTCTAATAACCCTTGGAGGGTGCAAATCATTCATATATATATATATATATATATATATATATATATATATATATATATATATATATATATATATATATATATATATATATATATATATATATATATACCTAGTAGCCAGAACTCACTTCTCAGCCTACTATGCAAGGCCTGATTTGCCTAATAAGCCAAGTTTTCACGAATCAATTGTTTTTCGACGACCTAACCTAACTTTTTCGGCTACCTAACCTAACCTAACCTATAAAGATAGGTTAGGTAGGGTTGGTTAGGTTCGGTCATATATCTACGTTAATTTTAACTCCAATAAAAAAAAATTGACCTCATACATAGTGAAATGGGTAGCTTTATCATTTCATAAGAAAAAAATTAGAGAAAATATATTATTTCAAGAAAACTTGGCTTATTATGCAAATCAGGCCTTGCATAGTAGGCTGAGAAGTGCGTTCTGGCTACTAGGTACGACATATATATATATATATATATATATATATGTCGTATATATATATGTCGACATATATATATATATATATATATATATATATATATATATATATATATATATATATATATATATATGTCGTACCTAGTAGCCAGAACGCACTTCTCAGCCTACTATGCAAGGCCAAATTTGCCTAATAAGCCAAATTTTCATGAATTAATTGTTTTTCGACTACCTAACCTACCTAACCTAACCTAACCTAACTTTTTCGGCTACCTAACCTAACCTAACCTATAAAGATAGGTTAGGTTAGGTTAGGTAGGGTTGGTTAGGTTCGAGCATATTTCTACGTTAATTTTAACTCCAATAAAATAAAATTGATCTCATACATAATGAAATAGGTAGCTTTATCATTTCATAAGAAAAAAGTTAGAGAAAATGTATTAATTCAGGAAAACTTGGCTTATTAGGCAAATCGGGCCTTGCATAGTAGGCTGATAAGTGCATTCTGGCTACTAGGTACGACATATATATATATATATATATATATATATATATATATATATATATATATATATATATATATATATATATATATATATATATATATATATATATATATATATATCGTACCTAGTAGCCAGAACGCACTTCTCAGCCTACTATGCAAGGCCTTATTTGCCTAATAAGCTAAGTTTTCATGAATTAATGTGTTTTCGACTACCTAACCTAACCTAACCTAACTTTTTCGGTTTCCTAGCCTAACCTAACCTATAAAGATAGGTTAGGTTAGGCTAGGTAGGGTTGGTTAGGTTCGGTCATATATCTACGTTAATTTTAACTCTAATAAGAAAAAATTGACCTCATACATAATGAAATGGGTAGCTTTATCATTCCATAGGAAAAAAATTAGAGAAAATATATTAATTCAGGAAAACTTGGCTTAACAGGCAAATCGGGCATTGCATAGTAGGCTGAGAAGTGCGTTCTGGCTACTAGGTACGACATATATATATATATATATATATATATATATATATATATATATATATATATATATATATATATACAGCATATATATATATATCGTACCTAGTAGCCAGAACGCAGTACTCAGCCTACTATGCAAGACCCATTTTGCCTAATAAGCTAAGTTTTCCTGAATTTATTTATTTTTCTAATTTTTTCTTATGAAATGATAAAGCTATCCATTTCATTATGTATCCGTTCATTTTTTAAAATTTGAGTTAAAACTAATGTAAATATATGACCGAACCTAACCTAACCTAAGCTATCTTAACGTAATCTAAACTTAACACAACTAAGACATTAAATTGTGTTCTTAATATAATATAATAATAATAATAATTCAAATAAATTAATTGGAAACATTTTATTGAAAATAAAGAAAATCTCTCGGCCTATTAGGCAAATCGGACCTTGCATAGCAGGCCGAGAAGTGTGTTCTGGCTACTAGTATATATATATGTATATTATATATACTCGTTGCAATTGACGATCACAAAACACTGATCATTTTATGCGGAAAATCCACAGAGAAATATGAAATGAGGTGAACGTTTCGGCTTTGTTAAAGCCTTTGTCAACACCAGACTGACTGAACAGTCAGTCTGGTGTTGACAAAGGCTTTAACAAAGCCGAAACGTTCACCTCATTTCATATTTCTCTGTGGATTTTCCGCATTATATATACTGTATATATATATTATGAATGATTTTGGTCAAACTGCCTGGAGGGTGCAAATATATGATTTGCAAATTTAAAATATTTAAAACAGACCTGCACATACGATGGGCTCACATTTGCTTCCTCGGGCCTCCAATACATCCCGTCCTCTTACAAATTACGTCGCTTTTCGCTCGTATGCACACTCGGGTTAAAAATCGACGTAATTAAAAATGAAAGCGGCTCACGAAAATGATGTAATTATCCATTTTCCATTTTGGTTCTGGGTCTCTGGCTTAGGCTGTTAGCAAAGGAGAAGAAACTTTCGATTAACGGTTTTTGTTACGTTTTGAAACCTTATGAGAACTTCCTACCCTACCAGAGGACTACCAAAAATTATTGGAAAATAAATTTCCATTTTGAAATGCGTAGATATTTGGCCATAACACATTCGATCGAAAAGCGATGTAATTTGTAATAGGTCAGGTTGTCCAATAACCATGCCCCATCTTGAAAAAAAATCCCAAGTTCCCCATTTTCCTTCTAGGGCCTTAATAAAAACATGAGGACCATTGTTTGGCAACATCACCATCCAGTGTCAGTGTAGCCATAGAGGGCACATTAAGCTTTTAACACCAAATGAGTGATTACCATGTATATATTTCAGACAAAATGTGTGCTATGTCAAATTTTAAGATTTAGGCTTAAAATTGAAGCCTAAATTATATATATTTTTTCAAAGTTATACATAATAAACACCACCTTTGACAAATCAATGCAACCTGTTAACACAAAGAAGTTTAATAAATAAAGTGAGAAACAATAAAAATAAATTGACAAAGTAATTCCTGTTGGCACCTTGCTTCATTTCTACCAAAAAAAAAAAAAAAAAGCAACTTCTCCGGGCCACTTCGACTAAACCACAGAAGATAGAAACTTTTTTCTTGAATTTGTTTGCCTCCTGGAGGATAGTTAACAAAGTCAAAAGAAAACAAATAATTTTTTCTGAATTTTTATCTTGTGCACCATGGCGATGTCAACATTTAACAGTTGGGCCGTTCAAGGGTTAAAAGATACATCATCTGAATGTGATATTTCTGGACTCATAATATGCAAGTTGGAAATGTGGAATGCTTGTTAATATTCTCATAGTCAGAGAATATTGGCAGCCATTTATCAGAATTAAAGTTTATCGTAAATTAAACTTTTAGTGAATCTTTACGCTGAAAATATTCTTGCTCAAGCTAAAATTTGCAAAGAAGTATGAAGTCTAAATGCTTTGCAGTTTGATAGTTTTCAAGTGTGCATGATACAAAGAAATTCTAGTTCTTCCTCCTTTATATGCCTTATGCTCAAGTGTGTTTAATCTACATGATGAAAGCTACAGGTGAGATTAAAAACACTTTTGGGGTGTTTTCCATCCTAATGTGTTTTATACATAAATATGTAATTTGATTTCATGACAGTTAAAAGCAAGTATTTATTCATTATTATGTGTGTAAATTATTTTTAATTTTGTCCTCTTGTGTTTGTACAGTAATATTCAGAATGCCAGTGAAATTGGCCACTCTAAAGATTCAACTTGGTCGTGTAATTTCCTTTGTGAATCGAAATTGTAATCTTTGGTTTCTTCTCTGTGACTGAGGATTGAAATGACTAGCTTCCCATGTGAGAAATGGTTGTAGGTAGACTGTTAATGATCATTTGTCCTAGCTTTATTCGGTACGTGCCACTTTTCAAATTCTAAGGCAAAATTGAATGATTGTTATAATAGTATTCAGAAATATGTACAAGTTTGTATAATGGCACCAGGTACTTTGTGAAATCTCGTATCTTTGCTGTGATATGCTGTTTGCAGGTTTTATAAATGATTTTTAGAAGTAAATAATATACCTTTTTTATAATTTCCTTTGCCAAATTTCCATGAATTATCCTGGTTGTCATGCCTTTGTTTACCAAATTTCTACAATTTTGCATTGTGAATGTATGAGCAGTTAGTATGCTGAATTCCAGAGCATTATTTTCCTCTTAAATATTGTGATTGATTACTTTGCTACAATTTTTGTTGAATTAACTTTTCTCTTTTCAACTGAGGCCTTTTTGTCATTAGCATCCTTAAAATCAGATAATAGATGAGTAATTGCCAAGTTGCACTAAGAATTTGGACCAATTGTTAGCGGGAGATAACTGAGAGGAGGCATGATTATAATCAGTGGATGTGTGTGTTATTGAAGTGAACTAGTTTACAAGTTTGACTTCAGAAGGTGAACATCATGGCAGATGGGAAGCATCCAAGTTATCTTAAACAAAATGAATGAGGTTGGATTTTGCTGATTGGCAATTGAGGAAGGTGTCTGCTGTCTTATAGTTTGCAAGCCATCAGGGAGTAAAAGTACAAACTGTTGTCTTCTGAAGAGTGATTTTTGATGTGCTCATTGACTTAGATAGTATACCATTTTAGGCTTTATTATTTTCACATCAGAATAAAGGAGTCATCATTAATAATGTCTGATGGCGCATGATCCTCAATTGCAACAAACAATATCAGCATCCTGCGTGTCAGATTTTCATCTCAGATAGGGTAATGCTCACTTTATTTCCCAATTGTCATGTGTGTTGCATATGCATCTTTAAAATGTATATATATATATATATAAATAAACTATATGTACAAGATATGCACATATACATAAATATACATGCGTATATATAATGTAAAGACAAAAAGGTACAGATAATGTCACCAGGCTTAGCGTTCAAAATATATGGACTAGGATTTTTTACAGTACTTTCTTACAGGTGTGATTCTCCCTCCTCAGACATGTTTGTTTTACTTGAACTTGCACCATCTGCAGTGTGTTGTAACCCCTATATTTACCATATGTTTGTCTACTTACTCTACAATACATAATTGTCTTCCT